AAGTACCAGCATGTTGAGACTGGCCACGTGCATCAAGTCTGTAGTTATATATATGACAAGAATTTCGTTCTTTCACTCATTAAGAAGCATAAACCTTAAATTGGTTAATCTAGAATTTCAATTAAAAAGTTGGAGAGAAATTGAAAGCATGGAAGCGAACTGATAGAAGTCGAAAAATGTAGGCCATCAGATTCTTACTCAGTGGCTCAATGGCAATGTGCACTCACCAAGGGACATCAAACCCCTGGGTTTGATCTCTAATGGGATCATGGGTGAGTAATACCAAAGAGTCCCAAACTAGAAAGAAAAAACTATCCAATGCTTCCAGGTTTTTCAATGTTTCTCCAACTTATGTCAGTCTATAATGAATACAAACCTGAGAAAATATTGCACATGAGGATATACTGAAATACTTCAGTAGAGTTGAAGCGTATTAGATTTGACTTTGGTGTACCATCTATCCATCGCTGATGAAGTAAACAACTAGGGTAAAATTTATTTCTACAGATGGGTTGACTTATATGTGAGTCACTTCAGTAGTAAATAATGAGTTAACATTATAGACTGCGTCTAAGGAAAACACAACTAAGAATATAGTCAGTAACTGTGACCTGATTACAGTCTTTAAATGGTTTCTCCTAACATCATAAAAGCCAATAGTTAAAACTGGATGCAGAAATATCATATACTAATCGACTAACATTCAGGTGGGTATATTTACGAGCAAAAACATACCTAGAAGTTTGTAGTGTTGAGTAAAAACAGAATGACTAGCTTAGGCAGTTAAAAATCGGGGGTTTTAGATTCGAACTCAGCTCCTTACTTCAACTGCATGTTATCATAAATTTTCTCACACAATAAGGATCATCTAAACATTTGTACCCAACTGAGTTACATAATTTACTGTATCAATACTAACAATAATAATATTTAGGATATATATATACAGACAGATGAAATAAAAAGTTGAAAGCGAATTGTAGTAGTAACAACTCTGAGATAGATTGATAAAATGACAACTTTATTACGATATCAAGGATTCATGCTCTAAACTTGTCAACAGAAGCGCCTACGCTAAGCAAAGAATCTTTAGAAGAAAAAGTAGACTTTAAGTTTGAAAATGAAAAATAAATCAAGAGAATTTTGAACTATACAAAAAAGTATGCACCATAAACATGGATTGTTTACGTTGACTGAAACTGTAAATTAGAAATTGTTTTCAGTTGTTATTCGACGAGTACATTTAAGAAAACTAGTGATAAACAAGCATACTGACAAAATGAAAGACAGATTTGTATCAATAAAATGGGAGATGAAAAACTTGGTATCAACAAAATTAAAGGAAGTTAGTATTGCGAAAAACAACATAGCGAAATCAATGATACCAGAGAAGTGAGAGAAAAAAATTGATAAGAATATAGAACAAGATATAGGGAGTAAAATATGTTTGAATGTACCAGAAAATATAAGACAGAATTTATTGCTTTAATAATAAAAAGTAGGCACTGCGATAGAATGAAATTGATTGATACTTCTAATTTTCAGTTCGTAGAGTTGATTAAGTTGCTTGACCTCTGTTGGAAAACGGGATCTAATGAGTATGCCTCGATACTGGCTGATAATTCATTATGTTTTAATCTGCTGGGTGGCTAGTAGTGAAATCTAGGACGTACGTTTCCTTCGGTTGAGGACTCGTCATCTGGATGTACTTGCACCCTAGTACTGTTACCACTGGGACTCGAACTCAGTCCCATCGCTTTAAATGCCAAAGCGTAATCTATTAGGCCACTGAGGCACCGAAGTCACCTCTTGTCTCAGTAAGACCACCATCATTCTTGGGGTACAGGTAAACCCGGCTGACGAGACGAAAATAAGACGAAAAGAGCATCCTAAACTTAACCAACAGCCACCAAGTGGGCTAAAATTGTGACAGGTTTATATTTATGTGGTTGTTCAACATCTTTATGCTTAGAATTCCGCCATCTTCTCTACACATCACTGATTATGTCCTTGATCTTTCTGCCAAACAGATGTGCTAGCCACTAATAATCTTTTATTATTATTTGTCCCACAGGTTCCTAGTGGAATATAGGGCTTCACTAGCACATTGCCATTTCACTCTCTTCTCTCCACTCTAACTCAGCATGGACCCACCAATGACCACAACACTTCATTTCTTCCTAACACCATCTCCTCCATGTCACCCTCACCTCCAACGCCAAACTCATCATTCCCATTTGACTTCCAATCGACAGAATCGTCTGGCGCGTGATGTCCCGAATCATCTACTCAGTGTATGTCCAATCCAATCCATCTACACTTTCTTCTCCTGCATATTTGTTGGGTGAAGGATTCTCGGTTGATTCGTTGTCAGTCAGAGTGAGCTCCTCGTTGTTCATTCTCATTATTCCAGCCATCTAATCTACCTTCAGTGTCGAGCATAGGTACCTGTTGATGAATGTCTGTAGTTGGTTGGAAATGCCTTCCATAACTCCCCGAGTCTCTCAACCATCCCATAGAAGTACTGACATACATACTTGAGTGAATTAGTGTTGAAAATCCGGAGGTTGTTCAGGCTTCATGCTGAGTGCAGTGGAGTGCAGCATATTTACACACTGATTACTTCAGATTAATGAAGGCCTGTCTTGGTGTCTTTCCAATCCTGGCATTGACGTCCTCATCTGTGCCGCCACCGCCACCTGTAGTTGAAACGATGCTGCCTGCTAGATAGGTGAGAGAGACAACTTCCTTTAGATTTCTCCTCTTGATGGTGATAGGTGCTCGTCGTTGTTGTTGTTGTTGATGTTGTTGGTTGGGTATCTTCATCACCTCCATCTTCTCTACGTTCACCTGAGAGAAGTCCTGTCTTCGCTACTCTGCATCTTCTGTCAACTTGTTAGTTTTCGCCTGTACATCTTCGAGTTCGTGGGACATCAAACATAAATGATCATCGGTGGTGAAATCCAAATCTTCTTCTATTGTCTTTTCGTCGGTCCAGCCAGTGTGTGCCCATCTTCTCACAGCTCCTCTCAGTTGCCTCTTGCATGATCCAGTCCAGTCCAGTCCACTCCAGTCCACTCCAGTTCAGTCTAGTCCACCACAACACAATCAGGAAGATCATTGTTGATAGTAAGCGGCAACCTTGTCTCACTCCTCACTGTCTTCACTTCAAAGGCATCACTAAGCTTTCCATTGTGAATCACTTGGCATGTGGCGTCGTCATATAGCTGTTGAATGAGGTTGATAAAGGTTTGTGGAAGTGAAACTATAGTGTTGAAGCAGCAGCTGCCAAATCACTTCTCAGTGGACGCTGTTGGAGGCCTTTACAATGTTGGTGAAGTTGAGGTGAAGAGCTGACTGAACTGACATTCTATGCTCTGTTCTATGACGGTGCGTAGTGTAGTGTTACAATTAGATCCGCACATGATTTGCTTCACCTGAAGTCAAACAGCCATCCTGTTTCGGTCGTAATTTTGAATGCAGAGTATATTTTAGTCTCTCTCTCCGGAATGGTGCGGCATAATATTTTTCCTTGTGTGGACAGGAGCCTGATTCCGCGCCAGTTCTTGCAAAGAGTTAGGTCCCCCTTCATTGGGAGTTTGACAAGATAGCCCTTCTTCCAAACGGCAGGTATCTTCCTTTTATTCCAAACCTTGTGCAGTAGTGGTGTGAGCCTGTCTGCTGATGTATCTGCGTCTGTTTTCGGTGATTCTGCAGGAATCCCATTGACAAAGTAAAACTTAAATATACTTAGAGTAATTTAGGAATGCATGTACGAATATGAAGTGTTATAATCCCAGCGGAATATGAACAAATGAACTTTTCAAACTATGGTAAAAAATTTATAGGAATTATAATCAAGATGTAACAGTATCACAAAATATTAAGCATCGAGTTGACATTGAACATAGGTTGTCACAGGGTAGGGATAAAATAATTCCTGAGTTTCACACAGTAGTCTGATAAGAGTTTCTTTACGAAAATAATCAAAATTAAATTGTCGAGTTGAAAAGCATACTGTTAATCTCCTCATCCATTGCTATTTGTATGGTCACTGTTATTCTGAAAATGTTATTACTTATCATGCATTGTGATTACTTTCATGAAGAAGTTCAAACCGGATTTTCGTGCAAAATGTTAGAATTGTTTTATTTCAAACAAACTGTGACCTACACAAATATAACCTGTAATTCAGTTGAAAAGTTATAATACGTCTACATGCGTCTGTTATTATTTCTACCTTTTTGTTGTTTTAATTCCTAGGTCTATATTTCTAGAGTACGAGGTACTGTACATAAACCTAGTATATGATTTCACCTGATTATCTGCTACTATAGTAACTTTTGCAATTATTACTACCAATAGTTTAGTTTGTACACTTTCAAACTAAGATTTTCGAGCCCTTCTTACGCCATGATCAGCAGTTTATTTCTGCTCTTTGCAAGGTAACTCACTGATTGGTTAGCGCTTGCTTTTATTATGTTGATGTTCGAAATTTTGGACAAGGTCACATAGTATGTAAATATACACACGTGTTTCGGGTTATTTTTAATCCTTCTGGAGGCAATAAACTCTCCCATCCAGATCACTCTACTTTCTCTCTATTTTTGTCTAGGGTTTGGAGCCAGTAGTGTGCAGGTTAGTTGTGCGTATTATATAATATATGAGAACATAACAGTTATGTTGTCAATAAGCTGTTGATTGCGGTATTTGACATAATTCCACAAAGAAGCTCCAGTATATTTGAATGAAGGAGAATAGAAACCTACATTTCGTTTGTTGTAAAAACCACTAATGTAATTCTTATCTAATATCTCATAAATAACTGAACTAAATATGTCGAAAAATGTGAGCTTTCGCCCTTTATGCCAAATGAAAATCTTAAGGTTAAATATGATCTGAAATAATTCAGTTCAGATTTTGCAATGACACATGGTCGTTAAGTCTGCATGAAGAGGAAACTTTTACACAATGATATATATATGTTTTGTTAAACTAACCTGTGTTCTGTCGCCGGTATGCTGAAACCTGCTGTTGGACAGTTGTAATATTCCCTCGCCAATATCAATGCCGCTAAACTATCTGTACCCCGGAAATTGACTAAATGTGCAGTACCTCCGATTGCGGCAGACTATACGAAAAAAAAGGCTACAACTTTAGAGTACACGTATACAGATATATTTAAAGGAGGAAAATATTGAGGTACTTCGAACGTCCAAAACAAAATTGCAACCACTACGAAACAAAATTATTTGGAAATCAACAGTAAATAGTTGATATCAAACCAGTGAATGAATAACGATGAAGCATAGAGTCAAAGTCATAAGAGCAATTCAGTGGTTGGGACGACTAAGTCAGCACTAACTGACATTTTAAGCATACAGAACTCCTGCCTACTCCAAAAACCAATGCTGACTGGAATAAACCTGGAAACAAACACCTATCCTAACGATTCGCAAAGAACTAATTGAAGTTTATTTATAGATAACCTAGGCCTTAGATAAGTTGTGGATTTTTGTAACTCTAATATCGAATCAAAAAAGTTAGATGAAGTCTGATAGATAATGATTTATTTATCTTTAATATAAACTGATAGGGATAGTGAGTGTACACAAGTACACAAATTGTCAAACAGAAGTTTAAAAAGTTGACAATGAAAATTTATTCTAGTACAAATGTCAGTTTTCAATCAGACCAAACTGTAACGTGGTATGAAAGCGTGAAATCACTGGGTGTTGGTCTGAGTTTATAAATAAATGCAAGCTGCTGAACTGAAGTGTTCAAAATTCTAGAAACTAAATCTTAAAAACCTTCCATGATATCTTTAAAAACTGACCACTAAGACACACGTGTATGCCCCCCATATTTATCATCTTTGAAATAAAGAACATTTTATTAACCTTTAACAGCGGATAAATTCACAAAATGAACGATCAGAAGTTCAATGAGATTTGATATTTGTTGCTGACCTCTAGATTGTAAACACAATTTTTCAACTGAAAGTAAGTACGTATATATATATATATATATATATATATATATATATATATATATTCGTTTGGTGCTCGATCGTGTTACATTGCGTTACTGATATACACTTTCTGAGTAGCTGCTTGTTTTATTCTGTTATCACAAATCTGTGTTGGACGATCAATATGGTATTCTTACTTAGTCTCACACTTTTGGGTTCAAGGCAATTACAAGAATTTGGTGGCGGCACCTTCTAAAACCACTTTCAAAGGCAATAGAAAACACATTTATCTATTCTTACTCATTTCACGTCATTTTCCTTTATTTTGACATTATCTCTGTTCGCTTTTAGAAGTAACAACTTGAGCAATAGCATATTTGTGCTAGGTTCTGAGTTGTTCGATCTATTTGTCAGTCAGATACTAATTTATACATTGGACAGAAAAACAATATATCAATGCACTCTATCAGTCAATGTTGAAAGAGTCAATATGCTATATGTTCATGACCCCTTGAAAAATAAATTAGCATTTACAGACACGTGCATTGAAACCTAGATTTACGAGATACACAAAGTAAGAAAGTAAGGCATAGAACCGGAGCATAAACAAACGTGTCACAATTCAAGTTATCACACTTCAAAACAGTATGTAAAAAGAATCACAATATAATCAGCACTAAAGAGTATGACAAAAGAAAAAGAGTCTAAAGTGATTCATGTGAACATTATAGGTGTGTGTATGACAATGTTAGTTGGTTGGAGGCAATCGGCAGGAAGCCCTGGACCTTGATTTCGCGCTTTTTGGCACTCGTCAGTAAACCAGTCCTACAGGAGGTCAGTCGCGGTCCGAACAGCTCAGTGGTAAAGTCGCTGACTACAACACTGGGGATGCGGGTTCGAATCTCAGGCAAGGACGTCAGTTCTGTTGAGATTGCAGATACGGTTTGCTGATGAGTGCCAAAAAGCACGAAACCTAGGTCCAGGGCTTCCTGCCGATTGCCTCCAACCAACTAATATCTACTAATGTGCACCGCGATGCTGAGCTTCCTAGCTTGGTTGCCACATTGCAAATATGATCGATAGAATTAGGTCTGCACTCAGGACTAGATAACATGAAATCGGCTGCACTCCCGTGACCAATCGATACGTGTGTATGACAATATAAAAAATAAAATGTAACATGTTTAACCTTGAATTTTCAACAAAAATTCTTAAACTAAAGAAAGCAGCGATAAAAGTGCCTTTATCAGTTGTTTCTTTTTTATGAATCTAAATAATGATGATGATTCAGTATTTTCTAAGTACTAATAGTTTGTCGTGAATGTTTCATCACTAGTCCTGGTGAAACCAACAAAACTAATTTCACAAAGAAGTGAGGCATGTTTAAGTGTTACACGAATTCGAAGGGAAAGTTTTACTGACTCTGGTTGCTGCTCATTTGTCTGTTGGGGAAGAGATTTTGTTACACAGTGACCTCTTTCACCTTCAGTTACACTAGGTTACGCTGGAAAAGGATATTTGCCAAAAGCGAAATTATGTTACTTGTAACCAATAGCATATTAGAAACGTCGAATTACCATCTATAAGAACAGGGACTCAGCTTCTAACATAATATACCTAAATACAGTTGTGTAAGCCTACAAATAAATGACATTATTTTAATTACTCTTGCGATTTTCACTCGAACCGCCCATAAATCTCCCTGTTTTAGAGAACTTATGCAAAGGTGCCTACGTGAAGTAATTCGATCTCTATTTATTCATCAAAAATGATACGATAGTAACACCAAACAACTTACTTCAATAGAAGAAACACCTCGAAACCCGAAATCATGTAATTTAAATTCTGTAGAAGAGTCATCAGCAGTTTCGTGGAGATACTTTGCGATGATCTGTTTCATTGCTCTTGAATTTGTTGCTACAGCAATTGGATACCAAACTTGTACTAATATAGTCTATACTGTGCATATAGATTAATTGAATTTTATCAAACCTCAAGATAATTAGTGAGCCAGTAACATTTTGGGTCTGTATTTTCAACAGTCATTAGAACATTTTTTATAGGCACAATCATGCCTTCAGGAACTGCCTTAATAACAATCGGTAGGTGGCCTTTATGATGCTGAGAAGAAATAATGAGTTAGAAAGGAGCACAGTGAAACATACATCAGCTATATATCTCCATCCTTTTTCATTAAAAATATCTCTACCGAAATGATTCAGGAATATTGACTTCGCTTCATCAATTTTCTCATGTGTTACCACTTGACCAACTAGATTTCTTTTTATAATATACTGTAGACCAAAGAAGACTGCATTTGGAAATTTTCCACCACGACTTTCAAAATACGAATATATGGTTTCTGTTCCAGCAGGATACTGTGAATAGTGACTTACCTTTAGTATAATAGAAATGTAAGACTCAGACAACACAAAAATTGACATACTTTATATGAGTCACACAGAAGGATTATATTATCGAATGCATTCAACTGAAATCCATTCATTATAACGGACACAATTGATGTCTGTATTAAGATATCTAAAAAAGTATTAACCATTTGTTGTATGATAAATAAACGGAATTTCAAATACTCATATTTCAATAAATCAGTATCTATCTGCCAACACGGTTCCATTTAATAGTCAGAGACCTTATAACTTGCTGCTGACTAAATCCAACTGCAAAGATATTTTATTTTGCATACATCGACTAGATGGGAGCCAGACCTCATTGGTGGTATACTGGCTTATAACTGTGAAAAATTACGAGAGAGAAAAGAATTGGAGATATTCAAGATATTCAGAGGGGTGGTATTGAATGGAAAAATGTTCAAAACTGTAAGATAACACGCAAAGTATGGGATTATGATATTCTTAAGCATGTCAACAAGTGTCTGTGATCCTTTATTCCCACTAGCATCGGAACTACAATCATAGGGTCAAGAATACACCATACAATCAGCCCTAATATTCAATTCTTCTATGGTTAGATTTACTTGAAAATGTCCAGTTTAGGGTTTCATGCAGCAACTTCAGATGACGTTTCAGAATTAATCTTTATCAACATCTAGTTTGAAAACATAAACTGTAGTCATCCCATGAGTTCGCCGAATTAATCAGTCGAGAAGTTGGATTAACTCCAATGGTTGATGACTCAGTACGCATTTTGAGGTAGACACTGGTATTTGCTAACATTCTAAAAAATTGTGTTGTGATTTGATGGTCCAGACACTCAATTCCCCACCGTCAAACCATATATTCAAACTTATTTGACCACCTTTAAGCTAAAACACTTGAATACTACTTCGCACTTATACATACATACTAAATGCGGCTCAAAATCTGATGTACAAATCTATGCTTGGTTAGTGGGACATATAAATTCCTTTAATTTCCTTACATCTATCAGTTACGGTACCAGCAGCATGTATGAATCCCTATCAAGGACTGAGAACACGATGTTCTTAGAAAGAATGCTGTAAGGAAAGCCAAAAAATTGAACAGACATTTTATTAGTTTATTTATCGTGACCCCATAAACTATTTTTGATAACCTCGTGTTGAATTTGGATGCGCCTAAAAATGCTTCAATACCTGGTCAGGAAAAAATAGAAAGAACTCAGAATGATCAAGCAAAGATCCGACAATGAATTGTGAGCTATTTAGTAATAAACTACAGCTGAATAAAGAAATATGAACCTCCTGGAATTCAGCTGAAAAAGAAGATTAACACGTACGGGTATAGTTTGTTCACATACACATGAACGGTACCAATCATGATGCTGGGGTAAGGAATTAATACTAATAAATAGGTTGTTGTAAACAGTTAAACAAGGATGGCTACCTTAACTTGAAGACTTCACTGATAGTAGCTTAAAATGATTATGCATTTTGAGAAATTATGCACTTACTGCAGTTAATTGCAGACATGACGAGACAAGACTTGATTGCTAAGAAGCAACCAAAAATCAAACCTCTGTGGCTAAAAAATGTCAGTGATTGGTGATTGTGAACAATCTCCTAGGAAATAGTGGAAATGTCACCAAAACAGGAACTGGTATGACGTTTGTCACAACTTATCAAAAGCAGTGAGAAAAAAAGAAAATTAATACATAATATAGACATTCAGATGCATACAAGGTGTCAATGAGTCAGTATCATTAAGACTGAGTTAAGGTGTATCAATTAGTTAAAAGCCATCTGTTCTGATTTTCTCATGAATCCTAACAAGGGTGTCTACTCTTAACGAAAATTAGATCAAAAGTCAGTCTGTAAGCGATTGGTTCCACACCTTATTTGCACTTTCTGTCTACATCATTGTTCATAACAACTGGTCCTTAAGTTTGTTACACTTTTGAATGACGTCTATCGAATATCACCAGCAAGTTCTGTGTTACTTTTTAGATTCATACGTTAAGGAATTCGAATAAAATGCAAAAGCCTATTTCCAGAGGTCATCTAAAGACGATGTCCAATATGAAAATAAGTTATAAAATCACAAAAATTAGCAGACCACGCCTAAATACAAAGCTAAAGTATCTCCATTATTATTATATTTATAGGTACGTTCGTAGAACTGAAATGTCGACTAATGACTTTGAAGTATGATGCTTGTTAATCAATCGTACTTTCTATCAAATTCAGCCAAAACACAGAAATATTAGGAAATGTGTGAGCACTATACGCGACTATGAAAATTTCGTTAGACATCGTTTAAGGTTGTCATTTTTGGCTTCTTTAATATAGGTTTTCAAATAAAATGCAGGCAAATTGATAGAACTTTCACAAATTTAGTGTGAGTATATTTCAACAGACCTTAAACAAGATATATGGATGATAAACACGAAGCAGTTCAACAAAACCTAGTCCTCAAGTTAACCTTTTTTCTCTTCTAGTTGCATAAAAAGATCATATATTGTCCTGGTGAGTCATATAACCATGAGCTTTTGACAAAAATTTTTTTGTATTTTTTCTCATATATTCTTTAAATTATTACACAGTTTGAGTAACATGAGTAGTGCCGTACCTGTACAACTCAAATGACGAGGGATGCTTGTTATACTTTCAAAAGCGTAAACCCTAAGACTGAATTATTTAAGGATACAGATGACGGAACTAAAAGGAATAAGATTTCACATGACTGTTTTACAGCAAATGGTTGATTTAAAAATCATTAGGTCTACAAGGTTTTCTATTTGTTTTGAATGGCTTGAAGTTGGTGAAATCAGAACAGTAAAACAGACGATGTGGTTTGGCATCAACCATCTGTCATACTGAAATACAATTCTTACTTCAAAGTAAGGCCTTGTTTTCGAACAGAAACATGATTCGCGCGGGAAATCAAAGAAAAAGTGTCGCAGTTGATACACGTTTTCTTTTTTTATGAATGCGTTCGTGTCTCAAACTTACACAACATATCTCACGTACAGCCTCTGGCTGGGGAAATGATTAACAGATAAACAGACAAAGTCGACGCAGAACATCGCACACAAGTGCATCAAAGAGATTCATATCAAAGTAGAAGGTGTACGGGAAGAGATGGAATTCTAAAAAATTGGGTTTTTAAAACATTCAAGCTTTAGAGGACACCAAGGAGTGAACATATTTGCGCCAATGTGATCGATTTTAGTCAGTTAACCAAGAGTCGTCAACCACTGATTTCTATCGTCTCGAGGACCTCAGACACGTAGTCTACACCTCCCGACATGGCCCAGACCAACAACCAGCGACTTCATTGACTGATGCTTTGTCTTAGTCTGACCACCTTGAATCCTTCTCGAACCTAATCCAACTTCTTGCAGCACTGCACCGAGGATATTATTCTTGTCCCCACTCACCACCTTACAGAAAGACATTTCGGTTCAACTAAATTCCAGTGAGAACAAAATCGAGAGCATACCAATTATAAACAAGACAGAAAAACGGCGTGTTGCAAGCAAACGAATGAAATCAAAATCACTTACTTGTATGCAAGTGCTTGATGAGTTACGATTCATTCTATTACATTTCTAGTCAAAAGATTTCAGTTTCTATATCGAAGCCGTTTTGATACAAGAAACGAAAAACCACTCAGGGGCTTACGTTTACAGATATAAACTAAGTAATCCCGTGTATATAATGAGTAGATATCAGGTCACAGTAGGTAAATTTTTAAGATCAAGATGTAGTCCTTAAGGTTTTAGAGTTATGAAATAGGCAACAAACCAGCAGAAAGTTTGTGACTAGCTGCTTTTCTCAGTGCATACACCTAGTGTGCGCAAATCCATGCGCTCTTACTCAAAAGTGACCCAAAATCATGCACGAATCTGCGCATTTCCCTATCCTTTCCCCAAAATATCAAGCTGAGTATATTCCCTAACCACACGTTGCTTCCCACGGTCAACAGTTCCAACAAACCTCCTAATAAAATATCACCAGCGCTGACGCAAGAAATGAAATATTCCTCGGCTGTTAATAGTCTCGACATTCATCCAAATAGCGAACATTTAAAAGGTCAGACAATCCTTTGAGATCGGCTTTTCAGATGTGTGACTAATTTTACTCTTTTCAATCTTAACCGTAAATTTGAACTCTGAATCAGTTTTGATTTCTCAGATTAATAACTTTAGTTCATACTGAAACGGAATTATTGTGGTCAAAATGAGAAGACCGAAAACCTACAAACATTTTTTTCTTCGCTAAATAGTCTACTTGCCTTAGTAGGTAATTTCAAGAATGGCATGAGTTTCCATCATTACCTCAATTTGATCTGAGACCATCTGTGATAAGATTGAAAAGATGCATGCTTCAGTTGAAAACTAATTAAATGCTATGCTCAACAACACCGCGTTTCCAGAAATGAAGAGTTTGTGAACTATTTCACGACATCATGATAGCTGACAAATATCTGAAACGCTAGTCACACTTATTGACAAGATGGGTCCTAGAAAGAGTCAATTAGACTGCAGACTGATAACGTCGAATCATAGTGTACTTGAATTCCTGTGGAGAAAAATCAAGAAAGACATCATCGCCAACCATTTTTGCGTCTCCGACATGACTGTAGCAGAAGTTTCTGATGCTTGACAAGCCATTTAGTATTCACTGGGTTGAATTTAAGGGAGAAAAGATGTCATTTTCACATATACTAGCGAAGTGTTCGATAAAAGACCTTACCTCAGGTTTCTCACAAAACCAGAAGGTTTCGGAATGACTGGGAATGTTTCCGTGAATCAGAGGGCTCTTTGTTGGCAGGAAAGAAAGAGTAGAGACCAACTCCCAACTTTCTTGCTAGTAGGTACATGGCATAGTATAGCAAAGCACAAACTATTTCTCCTGCACATCGACGAACTGCCCAAGATTTTCTACGCTGACGATGCAAAACTCCTGCTAAAAAGTTGGGATGACAACGACGCACACAGAACAGAGAGATCTAAGCAACTGTTTAACCTCCCAAGGGAAAACTTTTATGCCTATCGACGCTGGTAAGCGTACGATCATGAACATGGCATATGCAGATATCAACACCTACAATATTGAGGGAGCTCCTCTTACCTCAGTTTTGGCACCCACGACGATCTAGGAGTTACATTAGTCCCCGGTCTGAAAGCCACAGAGCACTGTTGATTGGCTACAGCTCAAAGTTTGGGAGGCCTTGGAGATTGCGCCGAACTTTTACCAAAATAATTGGTGATATGTTCACCACCTTATACACATTCCCAACCAGATTCAAACTAGAAAAATATACACAAGCCGGAAATCCTCGTTTGTAGGGTGACTAAGACCTTGTGAAAAGATTTTCAAGGATGGCTGCTTGAGCGACTCCTGTGATGCCTAGCCTATGACGAACGACCTCAGGAACTGAACCTCTTCTCTTAACTGGATTGCAGATGGAGAGCTAGTCATCTTATACAGGATCTTCAGGAGTGACTGACCTGATATATCTTCTCTTCTCCTTCTCATTAGGTTGGAAAACCTTGAAAATTATAGCAGGGGAATAAAAAGACGAAGAACGAATGTCAGTTCCGTAAGGTACTTGCTTTTGTGTCGAGTAATCGACTCTTGGAACCGACTCACAGGAATGATGTTGGTGTCATTAATTGATCCATTGAAGATGGGATAAGACAAACGGATGGATCAACAGAAAAGGATTAATATGGGTTCTTAAGTGAATATGATTTCGTAAAATGAAAGTAATTACTAAAATCTATGTCACACACCGCATTATAAGCGTGCCCCAAAAAGATTGAAGGATAGCCTTAAATAATGTGACATTTCTACTGAATAACTTAACCACATTCATAGAAAAAGCTTTTTGAAATCTGCCAACTCTTGAGACATTAAATTTGTGCTGTTCATCTTCTTTCTACAATAAGATCCAACATCAATAATGCAAGTATAAGAAACATGTAATTTTTTAAAAAGCGTATAGTGCTAGTATTTTTGTCTACTTTTCACCTAAAAGCCACAAATGATTCACTGGAATTGCGACTCACATTGTCAGAATAGAAAACTAAAACACCACCACAAGACCACACTTAAATCCGATCCAAATGAGTCGAAGTACCACTAGCTCATTAAAAGTAGTAGAGAAGGACATTCAACATGCGAATCGTTTCAAATAGTTGGTTGTGGAAGAAAATAAAATTTCACTTGGGCAACTCTAATTTCTAAAAAAATTAACCACTACTTTCTACTTTCGTAAAATGATGTGCAAAACAAATAAAAAGAAAAAGACCAGTGTTAAATCGAAAAAGCACTTAGTCTTCAATCTCTAGTAGTTAGGACAGTAATTTAATTTGACCCATGAAAAATTTTACAACAAATCCTCGTAAAGATCTGGTTTCCCTTTGAATGAGTTCGTTAAATAGTTCTAGTATTTGACCACTTTATGAGAAGCTTAAACTTGGGCTAAGTTACATGCATTGGGATCCATTGATGACTGTGAGCAAAGTAGGAAGAACCGGCTTTGTCAAATAAAGTAATATTATTTAATTTCACCAATACGTTTCAGCTATATAAGTCCAAACTTCCAGTGTTTGTTGGCACATAAATAACTTGAAATCACTAGATCTTTAGTCCTAATTTATGCGTCAAAATCAGTACGGATCCTTACAAAATGTATGAAGGTTGTACAGAAGGGTAGAAAATTTAGAATACGAACAATTATTTCTGTCGAATAGATTAAGTGGCGCTCATAGCAATGACATCAACAAGTTGAAGTGAACACGGTTAATTGAAATCCCAAGTCAGCAGACAAACATTTAGGTGATTCAAATGAAACGAGGTAAAATTACAGACGTCAAGATTGTGAGGCATTAACCATGCTTTCCTTCCACACTCAGGGGTCTATTCGATTTCATTCGATATCAATCGCTTCCTTGAAGTGTACGGGTACTTTCCATAAGTGTATTGCCTTAGATGCACTAGATGTTTCAACCCGACCTCCTGTTTCAGTGAGGTGTGTGTCAACTCAGTGGTCAGAATTTCGCTTACTTTCGGGCACAACTGTTACAGAATATACTCAGCTATCCAAACTGGTGCCTTCCCACCATTTCTGAAAACGTAACTGCTACCGCAAGTGCGCAAAAGCTCATAGATGCAGTTGTAGGTGACATAAAAAAGATATTCATCCAGTTTGAACTGGTTCACTAAACGTGCCTATGACTCAGAAGTCTTTACTTTCTTGGAGCCATGTGCTGAAATCCCATCCGCGAGACACTAATGGTGGCTGTCGCGACCATTAAGCATAGCACTTGTTAGTGCCTCAGCATTCAGCAGTTAGTCTCTATAAATGAAATAGATATAAGTAAAACAAGGCGGAAACCTCGCCTAGCTAACTAGTTCAGTAGTTTACTAGGCGGCCCCAAGCACGGATGAAGAGGGAGGGTTGGGCACACGGCTTTCAACCCACCCAGAAAACCAACCGAATCGCTAAGGAAACTTCTAAGCACAAAGAAAATATCAAAAATACATGTGCATGCTTGTTCCCCGCTGGAATCGGACTTGAGAAATGACACCAGTTGGTGAAAGCCCTCAGGAAGCCAACTGGCCGATGTGTACTCTCCCGATGAGGCGAAAGTAAGAATGGGGACACGAAATGTCGGCACAGTGTTTGAAACCAGCAGGACTGCTCAGATAGAAAAAGAGATGACGCATGACACAGAGGTCCTAGGAGTCTGCGAGGAATCTGCAGATGGAATGGAAGTGGACTCTCCAAACTGCTAACTAGTGAGTCAATAATCTACTCGACACTGTTACCCAGATAACAACCACGAGCACTGTGAATTTTTGAGTGGCTATCGTGATGTTACCAAGACCACACAATGCTCTCATGCAGTAGGAACCAGTCTCCTCCATGATCGTGACAGCAAGATACGACTCAAAACGAAGGAGAGTCACAATCGTACAGTGATACGCCATGCGCCTGCAAATAATGAGGATCAGGAGACGAAGGAGGAATTCTACAGATGACTGCAATCAGTACTGGACAAGACTTCAACCCAGTCGGTGACATCAAAATTCACTCTAATGGGTGAAGGGACATAAATGCCAATCTGGAGCAGACAACACAGGAAGAAAACACACCTATGTGTCGAAGGGCACTCTCTGAAAAGACGAATGAGAATGGTAAATGTTTGCAGACTTCTGCGCATTTGGCAATTTCGTGGTTGGGGTAGTGTGTACAAACACAGGACATTCACAAGGTAGCAATGTGGATTTGATTCCGCCAGGCACCAGGACACAATAAAATCAGATCGACTTCATCTCAATGTGATGAAAGCGGAAACACGGCCCACTGGATGCAGGATCAGATCTAGATGGGCAGCAGATCTAGGTTCACACCACTCACTATCTGGTGCATGGATCCAACTTTCAAAATCAAGTTAAAAGCCTTCATAGGAGTTGGCAGTGATAGACCACAGATCAAGTTGAACACCTGGAACACAAACTGAAGGACGAAACTAGAAATGATATCTTCACGTCAGTAAGTCATCCGGACAAAATGGGAGACACTCAGCAACATCCTTGGAGGAATCTGCATGGAAGACTCTGGAAGTGATTGGAAGAGATGTGGAAGGAAACCTGCATAACCATGTTTAGAAGGAAGAAGAAGCAAGACAAGAAATGGATCTCGACAGACACATGGAAGCTGAAAGATGAGAGAGAGGAAGATGGTGATATTGAATCAGAGGATGAACCAGTGCAGTGCAGTGCAGTGCAGTACAGTAGAGTACAGGATGAACAAGGAAAAGAGGAAGTGAGTGCCACCTGTACAACACTACACTGGACAAAGAAGTGAAGAAGAGTTCACGCAAAGACAGAAGACAATCCCACGACACACTTGCGACTGCAGCAGAACAGACTGCATGTAGGAGAGACATAGGTCTGACAACATTATATCAAATAACCAGATTACTTAGTATGTGGGAGGGAAGAGATGAACGCGGATGGATCAAATGAAAACTAGTGGAGGAAACGTAGTTACCAAAGAGGAGAAACAAAGAAAGCGATGGCCTGACCACTTCAAATAACTCTTGAACCAAACAACCACCACCACCACAACAACAACACCAACACCAACTGCAACGGCAACGGCAACTCGTACAGAAATACAACCAGCAGCACAGCCTCAGAATTACCAGTGAACACAAACCCTCCAACAGAAGCAGAAGTGAAGTCTCGAATGTCATAAAGCTGCTGAAATCCGTGAAAGCAGCAGGATAAGATGGAATTCGACCAGAGGCACTGAAAACAGACACACAGACAACAACGGACAGGCTCACACCACTACTGCACAAGGTTTGGAATGAATGAAGGAAGATACCTGCCGATTGACTGGAAGAGTGGCTACCTTGTCAAACTCCCAGAGAAGGGAGACCTAACTCTTACAGGAAGTGGCACGGAATCATGCTTCTGTCCACAAAAGGCAAAATATTTAGCAGCATCATCCTGTAGAGAATGAAAAATGTTCTGCATTCAAAATTACGACCGAAACAGGATGGCTGGCTGGCTGACTTCAGGTAGAGCAAATCATGTGCGGATCTAATTGTAACACTGCACTACGCGCCGTCATGGAAAGGGGCATTGAATCGCAGTCAGCTATTTACCCTCACTTCACCGATTTTGGAAGGGCTTCGACAGCCTCGCCTGAGAGGTAATTTGGCAGCAGCTTCGGCACTACGGCCTTAGTGCCACAACTTTTCATCAACGAATTTAACGTCGGCCATATTCTGCATGATGGCACATAGTCCACAGCGGGAAGCTCAGTAATACCTTTGAAATGAGGACAAGAAGGAGTGAGACAGGGTTGCGCTTGCTATCAGCGATGATCTTCCCGACTGTGTTGTGGTGGATTGGACTGGTTGATGGAACAAACTGTGAGGGGCGAGAAGATGGATGTTCACTGTTTGACCGATGAAAAGACCTTAGAAGAAGATTTGGATTTCGTCGCTGGTGGGTTATGTCCAATGTCTTATGTCGCACAAGCTCGAAGATGCACAGGCGAAAACCAACATGTTGACAGATGCAGAGTAGCGAAGACAGGACTTCCCTCAGGTGAACACAGAGAAGACGGAGGTGATGAAGATACCCAACCAACAACAAACTCCAATCGTCATTAACGGGAGAAATGTAACGGAAGTTGTCTCCTTCACCGGCGGCGGCGGCACAGATGAGGATGTCAATGCGAGGATCGGAAAGACACCAACACAGGCCTTCATTAGTCTGAAATAATCATGTGTAGATATCTGACTGCATTGCACTGCACTGCACTCAGCATGAAGCCTGAACAACCTCCGGATTTTCAACACTAATTCACTCAAGTATGTATCTCAGTGCTTCTATGTGATGGTTGAGAGACTTGGGGTGTTACGGAAGACATTTCCAACCAACTACAAACATTCATCAACAGCTACCTATGCTCGATACTGAAGGTAGATCAGATGGCTGGAATAATGAGAATGAACAACGAGGAACTCACTCTGACTGACAACGAATCAACCGAGAATCCTTCACCGAACAAATATGCAGGAGAAGAAAGTGTAGATGGATTGGATTGGACATACACTGAGTAGATGATTCGGGACATCACGCGCCAGACGAGTCTGTCGATTGGAAGTCAAATGGGGAATGACGAGTTTGGCGTTGTAGGTGAGGGTGACATGGAGTAGATGGTGTTAGGAAGAAATGAAGTGTTGTGGTCATTGGTGGGTCCATGTTGAGTTAGAGTGGAGAGAAGAGAGTGAGGTGGCGATGTGCTAGTGAAGCCCCATGTTGCACTAGGAACCTAAGGGACAAACAACACTATTAAATGATGAAACAAGGGGAAAGTGACAGCACAGAGAGGACGAAGTCACATATGGGACTGGAAGTCGAGTGATTTTCTTGAGCACTGGGTGATATACCTCAAATACCAAAGTATAAAGATTTTGTTTGTGCCGCACATAAATCTATGCTACTGTACACCACTGTTGTATCTGATTATGCAAGAAGAGTTTAGCTAATGTCAGTTGGCACGGTTTAGCACCAAAACTATATTGAATCGTTAAAAGGAATATTCCCAAAACCCCGCCAAGGCAAAGTGCACGCCAGATAAGAGAAATATAGACTAACGCTTTCTATGAAGCCACTGAAACACAATGGGCCCCCTTCTGGATATGTCATCACACCGAAGAAGCACAGCTGGTGGCACTGGAGGCGTGAAGTTGGTGGCTAAGCAAGATTCGTTGCCTTGTCAGAGACCCCAGTTATTTTGAATCTATGTGCATATGTATGGCATAAAAATATGTGGACCATTAGTCGACAGGGATATTCAAAACGGGTTGGAACCAGAGAGACCTTTTACTTGATATTGATTTTATGGTAGCTGAAGCTTGCAAAGAAAAACTTAACTTGGATATCTGATGGTTCGACAATCTCAGCGGAAGATGGTTGCTTAGTTTCGAAGTCAAGGGTTAGGATGTGACTTTCTTGGGAAAGGGAAACATTGTGTTGACTCTTCAAGTGTTCACCTGTTGAGCTCTGTCCAGCGACGTGAGTTAGGTGGTTCCAGAATCGGGCGAAGCAAACGATAAAAAGCTTGGTCCTGTGTGACGAAGATAATTTAAGTGTGTGCACTGGGCAGTCTACTGCACAACGCTCAAGTAGATGAGGCCATTAAACTTAACTGTGTAAAGTAAAGTAAACGGCATAGGAAAAGGAAGATGAGAGCCAACTTCTCCTTCCATCATGGATTTAGGGAAATTTACTGCATCTTTCGCCGAAGCTCAGCTCTGGTACGTCACCAAGCAGGTATCGTGTAGGGAATTGCTGAAAGCTCTCAATTTTAAATGGTTGCCCACATTAAGCTACTTATAATGGAACGGCAGTATTCGAGTAAGCGCCGGACGATAGTTCTGTTAAACGCCAGTCCACTGTCAACACAGATAAAATTTCTAACAGGGAACTCGGTCAGTTTACGATCTTCGGAGACCTGGAAAAATGAAGCGTATATCTTTTAAATCCTCGCCGAAGAACATCCAACCATTCCTTTCGCAAATCAACTGTAGCCGCGGGAGTTTACTCTACAACAATAAGGGTCACCTAATATTAAAAGTATCCACTGTGAAGACAGCAGTTCCAGAGAGCTACAAGTCGACTTGAGGGCACCTGAGAATGATTGACCGTATCGTAGCATCAAAAGATTCTGTTAGTTACGAAACGAACAAAAGACGTCACTTTTTGTTATATACGCTGCGGTTGATTTTAGATCATTTTCAATCATGCTTTTCACCATAGGTGGCACCAAGATGGCAAAATATTCCAGGTTTGCATTACGAGCAAGGTATATGTTTGATTCGTCTTCATAGTGCCAAGCTACACCAGACAAACGCCTATTTTTCTACGAGTTCTTATGCCGATAGCCTAAGCGACCGAAGGAACCCACACTGATGATCTCAAGGATAAGTAGGTCTCGTCACAATCATGTAATCCCAGCGAATATCTATGTTCGCGCGTTTCCCACTTCTCAGGTGCTACTGCTCATAGAGATATAGATTTACGTCATTAGAACTAGTCGTTTCGGTGCAAAGGGCTAAGCAGATAAAGAATTGCAGAAGATGACAGTGGGTTTTACACACTATCACGCTAAAGTATGCAGGATTATTAAGGGGGTATATCTACCATAAGAGGAAGTGCCAGAAAAATCTGTTGCTCAGCAGTGTCGTGAATATTTTGTGTCCAGAGTCAGTAGGTGAGCTGATCCCTTAGATTCAATTGTTTGTCCAGATTTCTGCTCCTATCTTGACTGTCTAGAAATTTCAGTAGTTCGAGGACCGATAAATGTCTACATAGTGACAGAGTCAAATGAGTGAATAGGATCGATTATTCCTACCCAACAGGTTATAAATTCCGTGGCAGCACAGTCTCGTTCTTTTGCGATACAATGGAATGCTGAGAATCGGTAATATAGATTCCTCATTGGGGTCTTGTTGTCATCACTGAAGATTATCTTGACGATGTGGGTCCAGTTTTACAGGCAATTCGGAAAGTTATCGTCGTAATATAAATAAGTTATGTCTTCATATTGCTACTGTCCGGAATTTCGGTAGTAAGGAAAGCAACAAAAGCAGATGTAGCTTCCGCACCTTATGAATCGAAATTGTCTATATATTGAGATGTCCTATAGTATCTGTAGTTTCCCTGGGGGCATTAGTGATAGTTTTTATAACACCGTTGTGTAGTGTGAAGTTAATCTGCATTGCGTCAAGACCTTGTCTTGAGAAACTTCGCACGAAATCTGAAGAATGAGATTGGTAGTCTTTATTGAATTGATAGCACTTTTGTTCTACCCTAGTACTTTTCACTTCTTTTCCCTTCTCCTGTACCCACCAAAGAACTCCCACTAATCTTGGAGTATTGTTTAATATTTAACTACGGGTATCCATAAAGATCAGACTTGAAAGATGTTCACTGAGCTTGAAGGCAGTTCTATTGCTTGCCCAAATAAACCAGCATGCAGTTTGCAAACATAACTCCATATAGGCAGTAGCTACATCTAAGGCTGTAAGCAGGTAACCTGATAAGGCTCTCACAATCAGTGAATTAGTGTGTAGGAAGAAAGAAGCCAAGCCTCAAGACCTGGAAATGAAAGTTCGAAAATATGAGTTTCCTCTACTCTCACTACTGGCCTTGGATATCGAAAATTTCAGTCATTTTCAACGGAAATAAAACCAAATACCGGGCTTTTTGGCAATCAGTAACGGTATATTTCAACTTCAGACCAGCAATGCTCATAAAGCCAGACTTGTTTTACTACGCCAAAGTAACAGTTTGGCATAGTAACAGCCCATCAAGTACTGCCACTGTTTTAAATGTAGGCGAAACATTAACATGAAAAAAATATTAATCGGTCATAGGCATATGCATATTCCACTATCATCCCTCAAATATGTTTCTTTCGATGAAGGCTATGAAGTGGGCATATCCAATCTGTCCAAGAATCACTACAGTTGGTAGAAATGGATGTGATATAGTTATTGATGTAAATGTTTGTGTTTATAATTTCTTCTCTAGAACCCCACAGTTGAACCCCAGCATGCGGTTATAGAGTATGATCCGTCAACCGGCTTGCTGACCTTGCGTGATCTCTCGTCCCGTAAAGTAAGTTCAATTGTAACTAGCTGATGTGATGAATTTAAGGGAACATTCGTGAATGATGAAATCATCCATGGAGGAGTGACGCGCTTGTCAGTAGGAGACAAACTAAGGTTCGGATGTTGTCCGACAGTGTATGAAGTAACAACTTCCGAGAGAAATATACGCGAGGTTTTTTAACCATGTACAGTACAAGCAAATAAAAGTCTTTCACAGGTACACAGTCAGTGAACACAGAGAACCAAGATAAGAATTCAAGTAAGCTTTTCATAACTATTGATCATTTTGCAGCGAAAATTCCTCCATGGGTGAAAGTCTGCAACTATTCAGATCTAAGTCCAATAAACCTTCCGAAGCTGGTATCTAAGAGAGACACATGTCATTTTTCACTTCTAACCACCACAGACGACAAACCTGGCGACTTTCCTTACAAAAGAAATGACGGGAAATGTGACGAAACACAGTCATTTTCAAAGACGACAAATAATTTTCAAGATATTACTGAGAACAAGGAAATTTATCCTTTATACTACATGAAAGCAACCAATTCAGGTTGTTAACATTGATATAATCCACTTTACAAGTGTTTTGCTTCTCCATGTACTCAAGTCTTTGGTTATGTGCTTTCTGTCGGCAAAAATCTCATAGCAGGATGGCTACAACATTTCAAAAAGCTGCACTCCAGTTTTATAAACTTCTTAATTATGGCCTAAAAACAACAAAAATATTTATTCATACTCAGCCAACCAAACAAATAAACATCAAAATGTGATTCGGATATTTTCCAATCTTTAGTTTTAAAATAGGTGACTGTGAACCCATACTAATCCTTTTCTGTTGATCCATCCGTTTGTCTTATCCCATCTTCAATGGATCAATTAATGACACCAACATCATTCCTGTGAGTTGGTTCCAAGAGTCGATTACTCGACACAAAAGCAAGTACCTTACGGAACTGACATTCGTTCTTCGTCTTTTTATTCCCCTGCTATAATTTTCAAGGTTTTCCAACCTAATGAGAAGGAGAAGAGAAGATATATCAGGTCAGTCACTCCTGAAGATCCTGTATAAGATGACTAGCTCTCCATCTGCAATCCAGTTAAGAGAAGAGGTTCAGTTCCTGAGGTCGTTCGTCATAGGCTAGGCATCACAGGAGTCGCTCAAGCAGCCATCCTTGAAAATCTTTTCACAAGGTCTTAGTCACCCTACAAACGAGGATTTCCGGCTTGTGTATATTTTTCTAGTTTGAATCTGGTTGGGAATGTGTATAAGGTGGTGAACATATCACCAATTATTTTGGTAAAAGTTCGGCGCAATCTCCAAGGCCTCCCAAACCTTTGAGCTGTAGCCAATCAACAGTGCTCTGTGGCTTTCAGACCGGGGACTAATGTAACTCCTAGATCGTCGTGGGTGCCAAAACTGAGGTAAGAGGAGCTCCCTCAATATTGTAGGTGTTGATATCTGCATATGCCATGTTCATGATCGTACGCTTACCAGCGTCGATAGGCATAAAAGTTTTCCCTTGGGAGGTTAAACAGTTGCTTAGATCTCTCTGTTCTGTGTGCGTCGTTGTCATCCCAACTTTTTAGCAGGAGTTTTGCATCGTCAGCGTAGAAAATCTTGGGCAGTTCGTCGATGTGCAGGAGAAATAGTTTGTGCTTTGCTATACTATGCCATGTACCTACTAGCAAGAAAGTTGGGAGTTGGTCTCTACTCTTTCTTTCCTGCCAACAAAGAGCCCTCTGATTCACGGAAACATTCCCAGTCATTCCGAAACCTTCTGGTTTTGTGAGAAACCTGAGGTAAGGTCTTTTATCGAACACTTCGCTAGTATATGTGAAAATGACATCTTTTCTCCCTTAAATTCAACCCAGTGAATACTAAATGGCTTGTCAAGCATCAGAAACTTCTGCTACAGTCATGTCGGAGACGCAAAAATGGTTGGCGATGATGTCTTTCTTGATTTTTCTCCACAGGAATTCAAGTACACTATGATTCGACGTTATCAGTCTGCAGTCTAATTGACTCTTTCTAGGACCCATCTTGTCAATAAGTGTGACTAGCGTTTCAGATATTTGTCAGCTATCATGATGTCGTGAAATAGTTCACAAACTCTTCATTTCTGGAAACGCGGTGTTGTTGAGCATAGCATTTAATTAGTTTTCAACTGAAGCATGCATCTTTTCAATCTTATCACAGATGGTCTCAGATCAAATTGAGGTAATGATGGAAACTCATGCCATTCTTGAAATTACCTACTAAGGCAAGTAGACTATTTAGCGAAGAAAAAAATGTTTGTAGGTTTTCGGTCTTCTCATTTTGACCACAATAATTCCGTTTCAGTATGAACTAAAGTTATTAATCTGAGAAATCAAAACTGATTCAGAGTTCAAATTTACGGTTAAGATTGAAAAGAGTAAAATTAGTCACACATCTGAAAAGCCGATCTCAAAGGATTGTCTGACCTTTTAAATGTTCGCTAATTTGGATTTAAGTCGAGCTCTCTCATCACGCAGTTTCAAAGGAAGTAGCATTATTTTGGAAAAACGCTTAGGATGGCACGGTGACGATACCATTTGTTGTTCACTTGGGCTATACAAGGAGGAGTATGGTGTTTTATTTTATTTTTAATTGCTGTTGATAAATGTTTAGAGACTAATGTTTCTGAAGTAGGTCACAATTTTGTGAATGTGGTTATTCTTTTTAATCTGTAAAGTTTTCTACATTTTGACTAACACTCGTTTGTTTATGCTCCGTTTTCTCATTCACTTTGTCTGCTTCAATAACGCATTTTACATTCTCTTTCTCAGTGTCTGATGTTTCAAGATATGAGATCATTGAAATGACCTACTATCGTATAGGGCTCCAAGGTAAAAACTTCCTATAAGTTGTACTTTCACCTACGTAGTCATCAAAAATAGCATTAAGGGAGTGGTGCCATCAGCAGCAAATCTGGGACCACATATACTGAATTTCGGTTTATGCTGGTGTTGAACAAGTGTTTACTCTTCATACACTTCTCGAAAAATCAGAAGCTGAAGCCTACAATCTTAATTTCGGTTCCCTTACCTAAAATAAATAATTTTGGATTTCCATATTCAAAAGGATTTTTGACTGCTTTTTAATGGAAAATGACTTTATTAAAGTATATTATAGTGTATAGAAATCTTTATTTGGACACTTTTTATGTTATGGATTGTATTAGATGCGACAGAGATATGTAATCTCTATTTTTATCCAGAGGTGAAACGCATGCAACGTAATTAATCCTTAAAACAAATCAGTGTAATATGTAAATGTCTAAGATAATTTTTACAACTGCACAATACACAATGTTGCCTTAGAATCCATTTACATTATCATTAGTTTTTTATTGTCTCTTCTTATTTTTGGCTGACGGTATTGTTGACAGTATTATGGCACTCATACTACAGATGTTCCGATCATGTGACTCAGATAAAACCTTTGTTGGAATTCGGGCATTTTATTTTGTATGGCCTGTAATAAGCTGCACATCTTACAGTTGTAAATACGTTTAACTTATTGATAGCCTCCATATTTAATGATAAGTCGTATCTCACACTTACCTCATCCCGGTGTTTTAATTGGGAAATACACTTTAGGTGTGCTATATACTTGTAAAAGGCCTAACGATGTCTATCTGTCTGAATTTGTAATGGAATCACAAAAGAAATCTAAATAAGTAACTGAAATTAAACTGACTCTGAATTCTGTTTACTGAGTAATTTGCTGCAGGAAAAAGCCACCCATGAAAGCTTTTTAAGATTTTGGAGGAAAAATACTTTTAGTATTTGGATAACCCTGGACAGATTGCACATGAAATTTCTTGCGGCACTAATGCATACGTGTTCTATATTCTACCTTCCAGTAATCAGACAAACTCAAAATTTTCTTTATTATTAAAAAGATGTAAAGTTCATGACCGAACTGTTAAAAAAATGTGATATTACGAAAAAAAGCGAAAAATTGTTGGTAGTCTTGCTCATCGTAAACAAAAGCCAACGGTGTCCATGTAAGTAAACGGTTTAGCTGTCAACAGTTTATCCAACCCCACTAATTCATAGTTTGTTGAATCATGAATACATTTCTACGAGCTCAAAACTTGTTAGTTTTTGGATTTCATGACTCTGGAATATGAATAATTGCAAGCTCTTTCCGTCTGTTGTAAAATGTTAGTATCAAGGTTGCATATAGTTAGGAGTGTTCATCAATTACACTGAAGAAATATTCCACAACTATCGTGCACTAGTGATATATGGCAATTATAAGTGATTTGATCATATATAATTGATAAGTAACATTATGTTTTGGAATTGGGGCTTCATCCTTAAATTGGTTAAGGTTATTGATTTCTCACGTGGAATACTTGTATGATACACCCAGTTTCATTGCATGACAGTTTATAAGGCATCTTCACATTGATTTCGCTAATAAAAAGCATATTGACATACTGTATTTAAGATAATCTACTTTATTCTATAAAAATGTAGTTTTTTGCATACATCGTTTTAGAAAATTGTCAGACGAATATAAATTCAAATTCTACCATATCTGAAGCAGTAAGAAGGGATGTAAATTCAGAGGAAAAAGTAAGTTATTAGTCATTCATCACCTTTTTATCGTTATTATCAATGCATACATTTGTGGTTATTTCAATTGTACAGTGGTATTATACTTTCAGTTATTTAATAAGATTATACAATTTTGTTTAAAGTTAAAAATACTTCAACCTAATCTCAGTCAAAAAGCAGCCTTTATAAGTTAGTTTATCGCCACCTCAAATCTATATAGTTAAATATCCTATTAAAGTCTAAAATGGAAAATCATGTTCAGTTTTCTTATTGTGAGATAATTCACTTACCAGTAAGCATATGGTTTACTGAAGAGAATTACCAAGTGTTCCATTCAAATCTAACAACTTCATTTGATTTCATTTAACTGTCTAGTTTTAAAGCAAAATGGTATGGATTGACTATGCTAAATTACTTGATAAGCACTGATAACGAAAGTTAACTGTTGTCTACTGTTGCTTATTGGTTTGATTCTAGTGTTTAATTGCTTGCTCGAGTTCTGTTTTTCAGTTCAATTGTTCTACAAATCTTGTTTTATGAATTTATAACTAATTATGTTATACAGTTTCTGTCTTTCATGAATAAAGAATTTCAATTAATGTAATATTTTATTATTAAACTTAGGATAAATTCATTCAACAATTACAAGAACAAATTAATCGTCTTGCACCGCTAGAAGCTATCACTACACAAAAAGATATTCTGATAAAACATTTACAAAATCAGATATCTCAAATGAATCAAATTAATAAATTATTCTATCAGTCAGGTAATTATTCACAGAATTTAACTGTTGGAAGTCCACATATTTCATCTCAACCAACATTACGATGTTTGACTGATAATACATGTCAAACGGATACAAAACAAAACTGTACATTATCCAATCAGATCCCATATCATGTTCAACAACAACCAAAAGATCAACTAACCAGAATACGTCCTGGTTCTACACCATCACAAGTTAAATTATGCTCTACAAAAATGAATGATTCAAACAACTGTGAAGTACTATTAAATGATCAAGAAATTAAATGTAGTAATGATGTAAAAGATACACAACTATTAGAAAAAGTAGGCAGAGAACGCCAAATACTAAGTGGACTTGTAACTCAATTACAGAAAGATTTATCGAATAAAGATGTCCAAATTTGTAGACTAAATAAAGAATTGAGTCAAATTAAAAATCAATTAACGGAGAAAGATACAGCAATTGATGCGTTACATTTGAAGGTAAGTATATATCAATTTAAAGAATATCTTATTAACAGCCTTATACTAAAGATATAAACGTCTTAGTGCTAGCTAAAATATATTACCCATAGTGTGGTCATTATCTATTAATGTAAAAGTTAGTAGTTGATAATGACTAGAATGAAAGGTAGAAACTGATGTTTCAATTCTCTCAGGAAACATAATCTATCTTATTTCATTGCAGAAATTCAATGAAATTTATGTATACTCCCCAATAATCTACTCTATTCACCTATACAGATGTGAAAATTAGTCAATAAAGTTAACCAACATTAGAATTGTGCTACATTTCACATGAAATCTATCTGACGAGTGATCGTATACTATTGGATTACTGAGTTAACAAATTTAAGATACAAGTTCAGACCATCAGGCAAAGTTAAAAGTTTGATAACAAATGTGATAATCATGTATAATTGACCACGAAACTTTGCGATATCATGTGAAATGATTGACTGATAAATAGACAGATAAAATCAACGTAGAATCTCACTCACAGGTGCTTCACTTCAAGTTGCCACATGTTTCCAGTAGTATATAAAGAACAAGCGGATAGAAAATGAGTGATATCAAAGTGGACAAAGTTATGTGAAAGAATGAACAATCTAAAAATAATGGATAGTTCAAATATTCGGAAGATGTCAAAGAGTGAATACATCTGTGCCATTGTGGAGGACTGTCAGCCATTTCACCAAGAGTCCCGAATCACTGATTTCTTTCGTCTCGGGGACCCTAACTAGGTAGTCTACATCTCCCCATACAACTGAGACCAACAGCCAGAGACTTCATCCACTGGTACCAAGTCTCGGTCTGGCCACCCTGAACACTCTTCCAAACTAATCCATCTTCTCCTAGAATGGCAAGTGGAGTTAGGCGGGGACTTGGCATGCGCAGCACATGTTTAAGCCATCTCAGTCGACCAAGATTCACAACTTCATTAGTCGACTTTCTTGTATTTACCTAGTACCTTTCACGTAGCCCCAACACTGCTGACATAGTGATTCCAACAAACGACAGGAGTGCTACGAAGGCACCTTTCATCGAAACCGTAGAAATAAAAAAAGGCGGGGAAAGTGATGGCAAGTGCTTTAAAATTAAAGTACGCAGCTTAGTAAATGCAACAGAATCCAAACTCTTGTCTTGAGTTGCAAGTAAACTCGGGCTTATTTAACTACTCAACTGTTTTAAGGACGTAGTTTGCCTGACGATTTCCAGCTGAAAGCTTTATTTTTCAATATTTTTGACCATAAGGTTCACACAGAATGTATGGCTGTGTATGTTTGTGTGAGTTTATTGAGGGATTGTAAAAGGTTACACTGGATCTTCAAAAGTGATGAGCACTTAATCACATACTTTTAGTTACGTTGATCAAAAATCCCAGATGGTTCCGTTAAAAATTTTGGACATCTACCGGATTCTGTAGACGTACTGGTAATTAACATTTTTCGGATATCAAATCCATGAAAGGTTACTTCTTTCGAGGTGCCTTAAAAAGAGAGCAACTTCGTGCAGATGATTTTACTGACTTGCTAGCATGATAACAGAGCCTAAAGGGCAGTTGCTTCAAAACTCCCATAAACTCTCTTTATTCGAGGTTTTTGATGTACATTTATTCGCGTTGCCCACATACTTAGGAAATCCTCAACACTAAAAGTAAGCCTTTGTGGGGCTATCTGTGTGGTAATTTAAACGTTTACTGAACAGACAGTTTTTCCAAACGGTTAAAAGGCAGCATCTGCTTGAGAATGTAGCTATCATGAGAAGACAACTACTATAACACTCTGATATAGTAAACAGTAGGAGTACATCTTCAAACTTGAAGTTATTTTGGACATGAAGGGTGAGAGATGAGTTACTTCCTCCAAGCAGTCCTCCTCGCATGATAGAATCTCAGAGACTATACCATTCAGTGTAATTCAGACAAATTGTTATGACATGCTTGACCACCATTTTTAGGTGGCAACTGTGGATGCTTCCTGGTTGGTAATCGAACTACACTCACTTTCACAGAAAAATGATTTGCGTACACAACTTTTATTACTGATAGTGTTTTTTTTAAAAATTTCAGTATAATAGATCTCAAGACAAAACACAACAGAACAAAGAGAGAGAACAATTTGAAAAGGAAATCGATAATATTCGTCAGGTTAGTTTGCAGAAATTGTTTTGGTCTTTTCATACTTTAAGGTTTCAGGTAAACTTAATGCAAATTCCCACCAAAGCTCCAGAAAATGCATCTTAAAGTTGATCAGTATTAGGTATGGAATCGTTAGTTAGTCTGGTAATTAGCAGTGATTCGATTTCTTCGGTGGTATTTCTTACGGTGAATCGACTTCAGTCGCAGAAACTTACGGGATACACTGAAATTCGGGAGACACTGAATTATTATTCATTAAAAAATCCTAATATGTGAGATTTTAAGCATTATTTTGAGGTATTGGGTAGTTCAGCACAGTTTTCAGGTAGTTTGAGATGAAAGTTCTCTTATCGCATATATATATCTACAAACTTGAGAGACTCACAATTCATCTGTGTATATTAGTTATCATCATTGTCGTGAGCTTCTAATGTGAATAAGTTGCAGTTCAAGATACACGTGCAGGTCTTTGTGTTAGTTACATCAAGTCACATAACAATACAAAATGTACTGTAAAATCACATGACTAGCTCCGACGGATGGATTTCATACAATATGATAAAAATCATATTGTAACCGACATTTATAAAATCATTTATCTTTACATCTGCTTTTTCAGGGTGACTTTAAAAGCCACTCTAACAACTGATGAGATAGCCAAGTATATTCCCTTATTTCATGGAAAAGTACTTTCCCGGTCAAAATGCCGAAGCTTGATTAGTCACATCAGCAGTTGCTGCGGTGGCCTTTAAAGTCACTACTTTTTTCATGCTAATAAATTTGATTTTCCCAACAAAAACATCTGTTAAATCATGGACACCAGATTGATCTTTCATCATTGACTAGTGAAAACGAAAGATCTCATCTGAAATCATTTAGTTGAAAAGCTCATTATGTGTGGATATCACATGATTATGAAAACCAGTTAAACACCACTAAAAAAATAAACCATGCAGTAAAAGGATTCTTAGTCCAACTCTGACGGCATAAACTTGAGTAGTACATAGACTCGAATGAACAGAGAACTCAAATTCCATCCAGTAAGTCACAGAATTTGTCTTTACCCCATCTACTCAATCTTGGGAAATCAGGTACGTTCACCAGTCTTTATATGATGCATTTGATTCAAAGTACTGTACATATATGTAGACTCGTCTAATATTTATTTGACACAAACACTGGAATAAAGGACTGATTTAAGCCGATGAAAAGCGAAAAAGTGGATCAGCTACTGTTAGTTATCATCGTAAAACACATCAAATCAGCAACTGTCAAACAGCAAATCGACTAATTAAGATATCTTCGAACATTTGCTGAAAAATGGCGGCTATTTTGCGTCGTCGAAAGACAAATTTTGTTTATTGCTTTTGTTGATATATTTGTAATTCTCCGTTGTTTAACAGGATCGAAATGTTCAACCCCTATTGGCCTACAGGCTCTTATGTGGATGTCTCGATTTCCCCTGAATATTTGTTATGGCAATGTACTTAGTTGTGGCTAGCAGAGGAATACAGAAAGGGAGTTTCACCCTACTAAGGACTCGTCAGTTAGCTGTCGTGCCTCAAGAGCCTAGCTGATAACATTTTGGTGTTAGCAGTGATGGGAACAACATCAATCACTGCGGAACAAGTGTATCCAGCTGACGAGTCCAAAAAAGAACCGAATGTGCGTGCTGGATACCTCTGCAATCCACCAAAAATATTCGTATTTAATATTACTACTTGTCATGTGGGTTCCTAGTGGAATATAGGGCTTCACTAGCACATCGCCATTTCACTCTCTTCTCTCCACTCTAACTCAACATGGACCCACCAATGCCCACAACACTTCATTTCTTCCTAACACCATCTCCTCCATGTCACCCTCACCTACAACGCCAAACTCGTCATTCTCCATTTGACTTCCAATCGACAGAATCGTCTGGCGCGTGATGTCCCGAATCATCTACTCAGTGTATGTCCAATCAAATCCATCTACACTTTCTTCTCCTGCATATGTGTTGGGTGAAGGATTCTCGGTTGATTCGTTGTCAGTCAGAGTGAGCTCCTCGTTGTTCATTCTCATTATTCCAGCCATCTGATCTACCTTCAGTATCGAGCATAGGTAGCTGTTGATGAATGTCTGTAGTTGGTTGGAAATGCCTTCCATAACGCTCCAAGTCTCTCAACCATCACATAGAAGCACTGAGATACATACTTGAGTGAATTAGTGTTGAAAATCCAGAGGTTGTTCACGCTTCATGCTGAGTGCAGTGGAGTGCAGTGGAGTGGAGTGCAGTGCAGTACAGTATATCTACACATGATTCTTTCAGATTAATGAAGGCCTGTGTTGGTGTCTTTCCAATCCTGGCATTGACATCCTCATCTGTGCCACCACCGCCACCGCCACCGCCACCGCCACTGCCACTGCCACTGCCACCACCACCGCCACCTGTAAATGAAACGATACTGCCTGCAAGATAGGTGAGAGAGACAACTTCCGTTACATTTCTCCTCTTGATGGTGATTGGAGTTTGCTGTTGTTGGTTGGGTATCTTCATCACCTCCATCTTCTCTACGTTCACCTGAGGGAAGTCCTGTCTTCGCTACTCTGCATCTTCTGTCAACTTGTTGGTTTTCGCCTGTACATCTTCGAGTTCGTGGGACATCAAACATAAATGATCATCGGTGGTGAAATCCAAATCTTCTTCTATTGTCTTTTCATCGGTCCAGCCAGTGTGTGCCCATCTTCTCACAGCTCCTCACAGTTGCCTCTTGCATGATCCAGTCCACTCCAGTTCAGTTCAGTCCAGTCCACCACAACACAATCAGGAAGATCATTGTTGATAGTAAGCGGCAACCTTGTCTCACTCCTTACTGTCTTCACTTCAAAGGCATCACTAAGCTTAGCATCGTGAATCACTTGGCATGTGGCGTCATCATATAGCTGTTGAATGAGGTTGATAAAGGTTTGTGGAAGTGAAACTATAGTGTTGAAGCAGCAGCTGCCAAATCACTTCTCAGTGGACGCTGTTGGAGGCCTTTTCAATGTTGGTGAAGTTGAGGTGAAGAGCTGACTGGACTGACATTCTATGCTGTGTTCTATGATGGTACATAGCGTTGTAGTTTTATCTGCACATGCTCTGTTCTTACTGAAGCCAGCCAGCCATCCATCCTGTTTCGGTCGTAATTTTGAATGCAGAGCCTTTTTCATTCTCTGCTCCGGAACGGTGCGACATAATATTTTGCCTTGTGTGGACAGAAGCGTGATTCCGTGCCACTTCTTGTAAACAGTTAGGTCTCCCTTCTTTGGGAGTTTGACAAGGTAGCCCCTCTTCCAGTCAATCGGCAGGTATCTTTCCTCCATTCATTCCAAACCTTGTGCAGTAGTGGTGTGAGCCTGTCCGTTGTTGTCTGTGTGTCTGTTTTCAGTACCTCTGGTCGAATTCCATCTTATCCTGCTGCTTTCACGGATTTCAGCAGCTTTATGACATTCGAGACTTCACTTCTGCTTCTGTTGGAGGGCTTGTGTTCACTGGTAATTCTGAGGCTGTGCTGCTGGTTGTATTTCTGTACGAGTTGCGGTTGCAGTTGGTGTTGTTGTTGTGGTGGTGGTGTTGGTTGTTTGATTCAAGAGTTATTTGAAGTGGTCAGCCATCGCTTCCTTTGTTTCTCCTCTTTGGTAACTATGTTTCCTCCTCTAGTTTTCATTTGATCCATCCGCGTTCATCTCTTCCCTCCCACATACTAAGTAATCTGGTTATTTGATATAATGTTGTCAGACCTATGTCTCTCCTACATGCAGTCTGTTCTGCTGCAGTCGCAAGTGTGTCGTGGGATTGTCTTCTGTCTTTGCGTGAACTCTTCTTCACTTCTTTGTCCAGTGTAGTGTTGTACAGGTGGCACTCACTTCCTCTTTTCCTTGTTCATCCCTGTACTGCACTGCACTGCACTGGTTCATCCTCTGATTCAATATCACCATCTTCCTCTCCCTCATCTTTCAGCTTCCATGTGTCTGTCGAGATCCATTTCTTGTCTTGCTTCTTCTTCCTTCTCAACATGGTTATGCAGGTTTCCTTCCACATCTCTTCCAATCACTTCCAGAGTCCTTCCATGCAGATTCCTCCAAGGATGTTGCTGAGTGTCTCCCATTATGTCCGATGACTTACTGACGTGAAGATATCATTTCTAGTTTCGTCCTTCAGTTTGTGTTCTGGGTGTTCAACTTGGACTCTAGTCTATCATCATCAACTTCTATGAAGGCTTTCAACTTGATTTTCAATGTAGGTTCGTTGCAGTAGATAGTGGTGAGTGGTGTGAACCTACACCTGCTGCCATTCTAGATCTGATCTGGTATCCAATAGATTGAGTCTCCACTTTCTTCACTTGAGATGAAGTCGATCTGATATTTAGTGTGTCCTGGTGTCTGGTGGAATCAAATCCATGTCACTCTGTGAATATCCTTGTGTTTGTACACACTGCTTGACTCCAATCACCAAATCGTTGAATGTGCAGAAGTCTCGAAACAGTTCTCCATTCTCATCCATCATTTCACCGAGAGCTTCTCGACCCATGGTTAGTTCCCTTCCTGTGTTGTCCGCTCCGATTCTGGCATTCATATCACTCCACCCATTAGAATTTTGATATCGCCAGCTTGAGTGGTGTCTTGTCAAGTGTTGATTGCAGTTGTGTGTAGAATTCCTGTTTCTTCTCGTGATCTGCATTATTTGTAGGTGCACAGCCTAGCATTGTGTGGTTATGATTTTCCTTGCTTTTGAGTTCAACCTTGCTGTTATGAACGTAATCCTGGAGGAGATTGGTTCCCACTAAGTGCGAGAGAGCCTTCAATGTTCTTGGCGACATCATGACAGTCACTCGAAAACCAGCGTGGTTGTGGTTGTTGTCTGGGTGAGGATATTGGAGTAGATTATTGACTCTTGAGTTGATAGTTTTGAGAGTTCACTTCCATTCCATCTGCAGATTCTTTGCAGATTCCTATTACTTCTACGCCATATATTCTCATCTCTTTTTCAATCTGGGCAGCCTAGCCGTTTCCAAACTTAGTTCGGGCATTCCATATCTTTATTTGTACTTTTGCTTCCATCAAGAGAAGTTTGTTTTTATGTTTTATTTTTTCTTATGCTTTGAATTTTGTTTAGCGATTGGATATGTTTAACGGGGTAGGGTTGCTAGCCTGTGCGCAACCTTCGCTCTTCATTCGGGCCTAGGACCGGCTAGTAACTTGTGAACTAGTTAACTAGGCGAGGTTACAACCAAGTATATTATCATAATTTATTTTGTTTACTCCAAGGTAATTGCTGAAATGTTTTAAGAAACTATTGAAGAAAATTTACTTTATTGATATAAATTTGATGAATGCAGATTCAGATTTGTTAAATTCATACTGTTTACATTTTATACACGATGCATTCGGCCTAAGCTCTTGGATAACTGATAATACTATACAGTAGTTAAATTCGCGCTTTCAACTTTCAACCTACGGGCCAATGGCTAACAGATTTGGTATTCTACTTTCAAGTCAAATTATCTTGAAACCACAGTTCTATCACGGAATTGCCAATTACTGGGGATTCTAACACCAGTAGGTGATATACGATCATCATTCAGTAGTTAAGTTCAAGTGGAAAATGAATTTTGCAGGTACATCTACTTTAGACCACATGCTATACTTCCAATATCACCTACGACTAAAGATTAGGTGAAAAAAATAACCAGATTTTAGCATGAGTTTAATGATCAATAATTGTATTTCGTATTCATATTGACATAACCCGACATATTTTGAGTCCGTCTGCGGTCAACTCCAGTTGTCATCAACTGTAACTTGTTATCTAGTTCAAAAAAATTTTAGGATGGAAACTAACTGCTTATTAGACCTAAAATGCTTAAATATTTCAAGTACTCAAGACATCCAGGTATTTATATAAATTGCTGACTACTAACTGTAAAGCTGCGCAGTCTGTTTCAGTGAAGTAAATTTTTGAATTACTTGTTTGTACAGTGGGTTTTTACTGTACTTCAGTGACATAATAATATAATCATCTATTTCAATTGGAAAATGCATGATATGTCACTGACTGTCATAAGTGGTTGGAAACCAACTATTCATTACAAACAAACTGAAATGAAACCATAAAAGTTTCACATACTTATGTCATGTTTCTCAAGAAGCGATAGTCTTAGATGCGTACAGTTTTAACCATAAAAATTTGCCAGTTGAACAATAAATGAAAATTAGTAGGGATCCATAGCTGCCATAGTTCTTCTGTATTTTTTTCCAACCACAAGCCTTCTACAACTTTATTCCTCACTTATTTAGGATTTACCATAACCAACTAAGCTTCTAAACTTCTGGGACTGACTTAAGTGATTGTTTTTTTCAACTCAAATCGACAGTGTGCGCTGTGTTCTTAAATCATAGATGTGCTAGTCATTGTCAAGCACTAATGCAGTTGCTGGGGCTACATTTCCTCATAAAAAATACTACTAACCCGTTTTCATGTAGACATATATGGATGCATTAAGTGATGATGGGAGTAGCTGTATTTAAAACTGATAAACAGTCGTTTCTTTCATCAGATAATGACTTTTAACAATTCTCCCATTTGATGAACTTAACCTTCAAGTTTATAACCTTATAGTCTACTTTACTGTATGCCATTCGTTTCAAACCGCACTACTGGTTAGTTTGTAAGCAATTTCACTCAGTTATCACTCGCATATATTAGATACTTGAAATGATCATTGGTACATGTCTTGAAACCAATTGTGATGATTATTGAGAAAACGGTAGATATGGAAGGTGCCGCTTTTAAAGTATATCGTTGTGAGATTTAACAACAGGATTTCACTTCATTTAATCAGTTGATATACGATTTCAAGCTTTATCGATACATACTGTGATTTGTTGGTTTGACCTTCGTCAACAATGAAGGAAAACATTTTTTATTTTTAGACCCGTTAATATACATTTACATTAGTTTAAAGCATAACTTCTCTGTTCTTTTTCACTTACAGAAGTATAAGACTGCTGAAATTCGCTGTCATTCACTACAAGATGAACTGCAAAAACTGAAATTAGATTATGATAAAGTCAGTCTAGAGGTTGAAAGTAAATCAAACAATGAAAATAGATTACGTAAAGAATTGGAAGAAACACAGACAAAAATAACTGAGCTAGATCGTTCAAATCGAATTCACTTACTGGATAAGCACGAAGCTGTTAGTCAAGTGAGTGATATGAACAATCTGTAATAATATATTTTGACTGTTATTACTGTGAATTGTGTGTAGACGGAAATACCAAAATACCACCTAGTTAAGTATACACAAAACTGGATGGCGGAACGTGATACCGTAGCTCAGCAATTTGATGCTGTTAACTCACGATATTTGAATGGCGAATACTTTCAGTGCCCAAATGAGGAAATATCAAAGTATCAAACCGTTAACCAACTGACTGCATGAATCTGTTCAGTACGAAACAAGAATTATTTGTAACACGAACAGTAGCTTATATACAAAAGGTTTAGCAAAAGGGAATTAATTATGACCGGACCTTTAAATAAAGAATAACCAATCAAGAATAGTACTGATGTTAGTCATGAGTTAATAAATTCTCACTAATTGTTGCAGAACTGCAGTTCTATCTGACTTTACTGTGAAACCATTCTCCACTCAAATGTAAGTATTGTCAAGCAGATAGAAAATATATGTTTTGCTTAACAAAGAAGAATTTTTTTAAACTTTTATTCAGTTACTTGGAGAAGGAGACTCTTTTAAAACAACGGGTTACGCAGCATCGCCACAAAACCTAACTACTCTAAGTTCAATAGGTTAAAGTTCAGTAAAAAAATTCAACATTCAACATTCTATATTTTTCTAGAATGTTTTTTTAGTGGAAAACTACATATCATGGAATTTTAGAATACCTCTTGGAAATATGAACTTACAAGGTAAATTTCAAACATATGAGTATCATTTATGAGGTTTAAATAAAACCTGAGTTCATGATCAAGTTGAAAATATTATTCTCACCGTTTTCACTTGGCGTTTTACTGATTGAACTGTGACAATCGATTACAGAACGTATTTGTAGACCAAACATTTGCTATTGTATTTGGTTTGAATTTATTTGAGATCTAGTTGGGTGGCCAGTCTGATGCATTCATAGCTATTGAACGTCACTCAAATGCAAAAAAGCCCATAAAACATTTAGCATATACAATTTTGAGGTGATAGAGAATAGTTTTAGCTCAGAAAGATGATTCTGGTAGTCTTGTGTCATATGGGTAGGATAGTTTGGTCGTAAAACTTTCATTATCGCTGTAGACAGCAGCATCAGCACAAGCCTAACTAAGATGTAAGCTATAAAACTTTCTTTATAAGTGGCTTAGTAGCCTGTCTTAATGATCTGTAGTGCGGTTGATCGTTTATGCTGTAATCTGTTCGTTGTTTGCATATGTATTTCGTCTGGCTCTCCAGCTAATCTGAAGTTTGACTTTCTTCTTGTTCCTCCTATTTCTTACTGTTTGATAGAATGAGTCAATATCACCATACTTATTGATTGTTGACTGACCTCAGTGCCAAGTTTCTGGAAACTTCTTGGCATTCTTTATATTTCTCCACTCTTAGTTTTTCGTATTTTTCCAATCCAATTCATGTCCACAGTTGTCTACATACATTGGAATGGGCTAAGCTCTATCTTACTCATCGTTACTACTTGATGTCTAAGTAGATGAGCACAAAAAGGAGGTTCTCTCTGTTTCATATAGCGTTTTTCATGGTTTCTTCAGTTTATTCTGTAGCCAACATAAAACTTGATGTCTTGCTAACATTCAGATAACTTAGTTTGACTGACAGGGAACTGAACAGATACTTTAGATACAAACAGATTCATTCTTCCTGGTAACTGCCTAGTAGAGAGTTTCAGTTCAGAGCATACATGATGAATTTAAGACAAGCAGCGAAATATTCCTAATGATTTCCATTTCATACCAGACTAGTTTTCTTGATTCAACTTCATTTTCTTTTAGTGTGAACGATTACGCACACGTATAATGCGCATCGTATTTGCTGTATTATCAGAAAATCAATCCAATCAAAGAAAATGGAGACTTCTGAAGATAACCATCCCTCTAAGGAAAAGATGGACGGTAGTCCTGAACGAACTGTTCAATTTTCAATAAAAACATCTGAAACCCCAATAAATAATGATACAATGAGTACCACAACAACAGTAAAAGATATGAATAATACTTGTCAAGATGCAAATCACGACGAACAGTTATTGGATCGTCTACAGTATCTGGCTGATGATTATAAACGGTTAAAACATGAATTAAATACTCATGCATTGGAAGAGACTAAGAGAAAACAACGAGATAAAGGACTTGAAAAAGAATTGGAGGAATTCATCAGGGTCTATACAGAAGCCCAAGTAAGAGGCTTTTTGTTGAAGTTTTTTAACTGGTTGGTCAGTCTAGTATTTTATGATGGTAATGGAACTCAGAATGAGCATATTTTCTTATTAACTTTGCTCAAAAACAACAACAATGGGAAATGAATACTTTTAACCCAGAACTAAGTGAAGGTATTGATAAAAACTATAGTCTGAATATTTACACACCAATGCCGTTTGCATAAAAGTTGATCCAGTCTACATACCCGCCCAATGATAACGTATTTTAGTTTGTAGTGTCGAGTGTTGGGTTGAGGTATCTACAGAATGCATACGCATACACATTAAGGTAAAAACTTATCCCGTCGACTACTGCTAAATAAAATGGATTGCTAGTAGTTTTAACCGCTTTTTGCCATCACTAAACAAATAACAATAGTATATTTGTGTTGATTATAACATCACCTTCAGAAAGCAATATCTCAACATACACACACCCACAGGTATGCTAACTCGATAGTAGACGTAATCGAATTCACTTATGAACCAGAAAATGAAGGAGAATTACCTGTGTTGGATTGCAAAATCAAGACGAAGGGAGATAGAAGCTTAGATACCAGTTTTATAGGAAACCAAGACATTAGAGTAGATATTTGATTTCACCTCATCTCATCCCATATCTCTTTAGGTAGGATTGGTAAAATACCTAAGTAATCGGGATACGAGTTTGACTACTTAGTCAGAAAACCTGAATAAGGAAATGGAACACATCAAAGATACACTACATCTTAACAAATACTCTCTGAAATTTATTAAAAGCTTATAAGGACCGAAAGGGGACAGAGTGATAATGTTAGTGGTGATTGCAACATGCCTAAGAGGGAATTCAAATCCTTTGTAGTTTTGTCGTATAAAGAAGGCTTATCGAGAATATTTACGTAGAATTCTTAACATTGCTGGATAATGGTATCAAGTGGATCCACAAACTCATTCAAAAGAAACTGTGTAGGCTGAAAGATCCAGTAAAGCGAATTAAGCAAAATAACCTAATCTATCAGATGCGATACAATGATTGTGAGGTCAAGTATTGAGACGAAAGCAGCCAATCTGGCTTAGTCCGAATAATGGAGAACAAAAACCTTGCGAAAAATAAAATGATAGGCTCTATGACGTTATATAGTTTAAAGAAAATCTCGGCTATCACTGAGTACACTGACCTATAATCACACTATAGGTTGACAATTCTACGATCCAACGTAGCTAGCTGGAGAGAGATTGGTCACGAAATCTCTGAACATGGAGACAATATCTAACACATGTAGTAGGAATGACTAATAACTGAATGTAGATATCTGTAAAATTCTACTATCATTAAAATAGAACAACTGGGCTATATAAATTAAGTTTGGAAGTCATACGATTACTTTGATATGTTAATGAACAATAAATTTTGCTCGAAACCTAATCCGCTTAATAATACCTTATCACTCCCTGCTGTATCAAACAACAATCTAATATGGAATTATTCTGTACCACAGTGCCCGGATTTTACTCTAAGATTAATCACATCAGAGGTTGATCAACATGATCTAACTGTGTGAACAACAATAAATTCAATATTATTTATCATTTGTAACGCTTATTGTTCCTCATACTTTTTATTGACTTCTATTGTGGGCTTATTGTTCAGAAGCGTCTCATCTTTGAGCATCCTAATTGAATTAGTTTTGTTAAATAGCACTACGAAAAACTGGTAATCTTGATCACTTGTCAGTATAGAGCACTATATATATATATGTCTTTGTGACAGCAAATTTAATGCAAATGAAACATAACTAGATGATTAGAGGAACCTTGAGTCAATCACAATACTATATCACGTATCTTATATCTTTAGACGCACTAATACCACAGTATAAAAAAGAGATGCGAAGTGGCGGCCTATTTCTTCTTGGAAAAACTGAAGACTAATAATCATTACTTAATAACGGACTAATGACTCGGGGAATAGTTCGCACCACCTCTAAATTCCACGCTTCGATGATGGTGTAACAGAATGCCATGTTATTTATTCCTATGCGGTCCACCCATTTGATTCATAGGATTTGAGACCAGTTAATAAAGTGAACTAGAATTGTCAGTCTTATTTGACACCAAAAGGCACAAAATAAAAATTAGGTACTTAGTTTGTGGAGTTAAACTTTCTTTAATCGATAAGCATTAGTAAGTTTCATTGCTTTAATTACATTCAAATATATGGAGCATTCAAAAAAGCGAAAAGTACAGCTAGGAATCTTCGAAGGTAAGCTGAAAATACATAGCCATGATGGGTTTCCCACCATATTAATAATGGTTTGCAATTCCATTATACTATTATTTGTCCTTTGGGTACCTAGTGCAACATGAGGCTTCAATAGCACGTCGTCATCTCACTCTCTTCTCTCCACTCTAACTCAACATGGACCCACCAATGCCCAAAACACTTCATTTCTTCCTAACACCATCTCCTCCATGTCACCCTCACCTACAACGCCAAACTCGTCATTCTCCATTTGACTTCCAATCGACAGAATCGTCTGGCGCGTGATGTCCCGAATCATCTACTCAGTGTATGTCCAATCCAATCCATCTACACTTTCTTCTCCTGCATATTTGTTGGGTGAAGGATTCTCGGTTGATTCGTTGTCAGTCAGAGTGAGCTCCTCGTTGTTCATTCTCATTATTCCAGCCATCTGATCTACCTTCAGTATCGAGCATAGGTAGCTGTTGATGAATGTTTGTAGTTGGTTGGAAATGCCTTCCATAACGTCCCAAGTCTCTCAACCATCACATAGAAGCACTGAGATACATACTTGAGTGAATCAGTGTTGAAAATCCGGAGGTTGTTCACGCTTCATGCTGAGTGCAGTGGAGTGGAGTGCAATGCAGTGCAGTATATCTACACACTGATTATTTCAGATTAATGAAGGCCTGTGTTGGTGTCTTTCCGATCCTGGCATTGACGTCCTCATCTGTGCCGCCACCACCACCGCCACCTGTAGTTGAAACGATGCTGCCTGCTAGATAGGTGAGAGAGACAACTTCCTTTAGATTTCTCCTCTTGATGGTGATTGGAGTTTGTTGTTGTTGGTGGTGTTGTTAGTTGGGTATTTTCATCACCTCCATCTTCTCTATGTTCACCTGAGGGAAGTCCTGTCTTCGCTACTCTGCATCTTCTGTCAACTTGTTGGTTTTCGCCTGTACATCTTCGAGTTCGTGGGACATCAAACACAAATGATCATCGGTGGTGAAATCCAAATCTTCTTCTATTGTCTTTTCATCGGTCCAGCCAGTGTGTGCCCATCTTCTCACAGCTCCTCACAGTTGCCTCTTGTATGATCCAGTCCACTCCAGTTCAGTTCAGTCCAGTCCACCACAACACAATCAGGAAGATCATTGTTGATAGTAAGCGGCAACCTTGTCTCACTCCTTACTGTCTTCACTTCAAAGGCATCACTAAGCTTAGCATCGTGAATCACTTGGCATGTGGCGTCATCATATAGCTGTTGAATGAGGTTGATAAAGGTTTGTGGAAGTGAAACTATAGTGTTGAAGCAGCAGCTGCCAAATCACTTCTCAGTGGACGCTGTTGGAGGCCTTTTCAATGTTGGTGAAGTTGAGGTGAAGAGCTGACTGGACTGACATTCTATGCTGTGTTCTATGATGATGCGTAGCGTAGTGTTAATTTTATCTGCACATGCTCTGTTCTTACTGAAGCCAGCCAGCCATCCATCCTGTTTCGGTCGTAATTTTGAATGCAGAGTATATTTTAGTCTCTGTCTCCGGAACGGTGCGACATAATATTTTGCCTTGTGTGGACAGAAGCATGATTCCGTGCCACTTCTTGCAAAGAGTTAGGTCTCCCTTCTTTGGGAGTTTGACAAGGTAGCCCCTCTTCCAGTCAATCGGCAGGTATCTTTCCTTCATTCATTCCAAACCTTGTGCAGTAGTGGTGTGAGCCTGTCCGTTGTTGTCTGTGTGTCTGTTTTCAGTACCTCTGGTCGAATTCCATCTTATCCTGCTGCTTTCACGGATTTCAGCAGCTTTATGACATTCGAGACTTCACTTCTGCTTCTGTTGGAGGGCTTGTGTTCACTGGTAATTCTGAGGCTGTGCTGCTGGTTGTATTTCTGTACGAGTTGCCGTTGCAGTTGGTGTTGTTGTTGTGGTGGTGGTGGTGGTTGTTTGATTCAAGAGTTATTTGAAGTGGTCAGCCCATCGCTTTCTTTGTTTCTCCTCTTTGGTAACTATGTTTCCTCCTCTAGTTTTCATTTGATCCATCCGCGTTCATCTCTTCCCTCCCACATACTAAGTAATCTGGTTATTTGATATAATGTTGTCAGACCTCTGTCTCTCCTACATGCAGTCTGTTCTGCTGCAGTCGCAAGTGTGTCGTGGGATTGTCTTCTGTCTTTGCGTGAACTCTTCTTCACTTCTTTGTCCAGTGTAGTGTTGTACAGGTGGCACTCACTTCCTCTTTTCCTTGTTCATCCCTGTACTGTACTGCACTGCACTGCACTGCACTGGTTCATCCTCTGATTCAATATCACCATCTTCCTCTCCCTCATCTTTCAGCTTCCATGTGTCTGTCGAGATCCATTTCTTGTCTTGCTTCTTCTTCCTTCTCAACATGATTATGCAGGTTTCCTTCCACATCTCTTCCAATCACTTCCAGACTCCTTCCATGCAGATTCCTCCAAGGATGTTGCTGAATGTCTCCCATTATGTCCGGATGACTTACTGACGTGAAGATATCATTTCTAGTTTCGTCCTTCAGTTTGTGTTCTGGGTGTTCAACTTGGACTCTAGTCTATCATCATCACTTCTATGAAGGCTTTCAACTTGATTTTCAATGTAGGTTCGTTGCAGTAGATAGTGGTGAGTGGTGTGAACCTACACCTGCTGCCATTCTAGATCTGATCTGGTATCCAATAGATTGAGTCTCCACTTTCTTCACTTGAGATGAAGTCGATCTGATATTTAGTGTGTCCTGGTGTCTGGTGGAATCAAATCCATGTCACTCTGTGAATATCCTTGTGTTTGTACACACTACTTGACTCCAATCACCAAATCGTTGAATGTGCAGAAGTCTCGAAACAGTTCTCCATTCTCATCCATCATTTCACCGAGAGCTTCTCGACCCATGATTAGTTCCCTTCCTGTGTTGTCCGCTCCGATTCTGGCATTCATATCACTCCACCCATTAGAATTTTGATATCGCCAGCTTGAGTGGTGTCTTGTCAGTGTTGATTGCAGTTGTGTGTAGAATTCCTGTTTCTTCTCGTGATCTGCATTATTTGTAGGTGCACAGCCTAGCATAGTGTGGTAATGATTTTCCTTGCTTTTGAGTTCAACCTTGCTGTTATGAACGTAATCCTGGAGGAGATTGGTTCCCACTAAGTGCGAGAGAGCCTTCAATGTTCTTGGCGACATCATGACAGCCACTCGAAAACTCAGTGTGGTTGTGGTTGTTGTCTGGGTGAGGATATTGGAGTAGATTATTGACTCTTGAGTTGATAGTTTTGAGAGTTCACTTCCATTCCATCTGCAGATTCTTTGCAGATTCCTATTACTTCTACGCCATATATTCTCATCTCTTTTTCAATCTGTTGAGCCTTGCTAAGTTCATACTTATTGCGGACTTTCCATGTCCCGATGTTTACTTTTGATTTGATCGAGAGAAGTGAAGTCACATCGGCCCGGCCAGCCGGTCCCTTGAAGTAGTCTTTCGCCAGCCGGCATCTATTCGTCTCTCCAATTCCAGCTAGGAATAAGTCTATTTTTATTTTTAATATTTTCTTCCTGCTCTGAAGTTTCTTTAGTGGTTGGATTTGTTTTCCATTGTAGGGTTGCTATCCCTATGCCGAACCTTTTTTATATACCCGGGCTTAGATTAGGGTAGTGACTAATGCAGTAGTTAACCAGGTGAAGTTGGTCTGCAATTCTAAGTCTCATTTAACTTTAGAATACCAGCTGAGCTAACTTTACTTCTGATAGTGTTGTGTTCTTCAGGCTAGATATTTTAATCATGAAGCTGTCATTTTTATTCTAGGTAGCATCTGTGAAATCTCCAGGAAGAAGTTAGTGCTGATGATGAGCTATAAATATCCTCCCACATGGGAAAAGCTTTACTCCTCTAAACGTTCCAAACCAACTATCAGTGACTTCATCAGCCGACAATGAATCTTATTCTTGCTTCCGGCTTAATTCTACACTTGCTAGGGATACTTGAAGTTACTTTTGTGAAGCGCACGTGTATAAAACACGTGCCGGTCACGTAAGATAATTAATGTAAGGAACGTCATCAACTGACCCATTCCTTCTTTAGAACCTCACACCTAGTGTCAATGTCACCCTGTCTTTACTTTGACCACATATGAACAATGCTACAAAATAGTATTAACAAAATTTTTACAACCTCCTTATTTTATCCAAACCTATGAGTCATTTCTTGGAACCACGTGGTTACATGCGTTCTGATTGAGTTTTGCTACCCTGTTGTTTACCTCATCGAATTTCTACTTGGTCGTTTAGTTATGATTTACTTTGAATGTTCACGCAGAAAATAACAGAGCAACGGTACGCCCATAATCATGTAGATCATCAGCAGATGGACCTGCTTTTTCTGAAAATCTACACCTAAATTCATTAGTCAATCATAACTAGTTGTTATTTTAATGGGATTCAATGATATTCGGTAAAATAAAAAAGCTTCAGTTCAAAAGTGTGTCAGTCATTAGTGTACTTGTATAAGTTTTCAATGTAGCAGTTATTCCTGTTAATTAAAAATAAGTACCGTCATCAGTTAGCATATACAAATCTTGGAAGTCCTTCCATAGATAAAACAGTTCACTATAGTGAGACTTTAGAGAAGTTGCCATACCTCATTATTAGCAAAAGTTAGTACGCTCGCAGATGAAAGATTTTGAAATAAGGGCAAAAGTAATCAGAAGTATTTCAGAGTTATAAAGAGAGAACAAGAAGTAAGGAAACAACGCTGATTTTCGGCATGATAACTCAGATGAAAATGATGTGTGGACGCATCGGCTTCACCCTGACCCATATTGCCTAGAGGCTCCAACCATCGATTTCAATTGTAACGTGACCTGAAACTAAATGTTTGCATTTCTCTATACTACCTTAACCAAAAGCCAGAGATTTACTTCACTTACATCGCACTATAGTTTTTTATCCTTCAACTTTTTCCAGCTAAAACCTACTTCAGTATATATTTAGTGACAAGAAAGATGGTGACTAGGTATACGTAACACACTCATCAGCCATCTGAGTTGATGTAAGTTCTGAACTCCAATCGATCAAGAAAAATGGAGATTCATATCTATGAAGACAATGCTACTGGGATTCATTTTGAGACTAAAAATTAGAACAGATAGAAACTATTTCAGTTGTTTGAAATCTAGTCTCAAATTCTTCCTACAAAATTTATTTCAGCTCTTCAACTTCCTGAAGAATGCAACACAATATCAAGTTAATTAACTGACTGATTACATTGTAAAATTCAGCAACAAAATTTGGTCAGTGATACCAATTAAATAACATGACCAAATTAGCGTAGGGATTAAGAATCACCTGACTAATGTTTATCCGTTAAAACTGACTGATTTCAAAGTTACTAAGTTATCACACTTTTGGAAAATTCATCAAATTTCTTATCTCAAGTTGTTATTCATCATAGACTGACATCAGTTGGAGGAACAAAGGAAACCTGGGAGCACTGGACAGCTGTTTCGTCCTAGTATGGGACTCCTCAGCAGTGCGCACCCACGACCCCACCAGCAGGGATCGAAACCGCGACCTTCAGGTTCCGCAGCCAGCGCGTTACCATTGAGTCACTGGGTCAGAATCCAATGCTCCATATTCCCAACTTCTGTTAGCTCACGATATATAGCGCAACCGCCACCCAATGTCATCGCTGAGTATTTGTCCTCATGGCCATCAGGCTTTGACTCCACCGGTCACGACTTGTCATTGGAAGATGTCAGTCTTCGATGAATAACAACTTGAAATAATTCCCAATGAGCACCAGTTCATTAAATTTTGAGGGAGTTGGTGCTCATTTGGGATTAGTTTCGAGAAGTATTCCCGAAGTTCCAATGACAAGTCTGACCGGTGGAGTCAAAGCCTGATGGCTGAGGACAAATACTCACGATGACATTGGGGGCGGTTGCCTATATCTGAGCTAACAGAAGTTGGAAATATGGAGCATTGGATCTGACCCAGTGGCTCAAGGTACGGCTGGCGCGGAACCTGAAGGTCGCGGGTTCATCCGCTGGTGGGTCGTGGGTGCCCACTGCTGAGGAGTCATTAGGAGAAACAGCTGTCCAGTGCTCCAGGTTTCCTTTGTTCCTCCAACTGATGTTATTCATCGTAGACTGACATCTTGAAATAATTCCAAATCTCCACAACTCCCTCAAAATTTAATTAAATTTCTTATCACTTTGTTGTTCACCTAATGGCTTTATGTACAAATTCATTCAATCTGAGATTTGATTGAACCACCAAACAAAGTAAGTTAAGCGCATGCGTTCTAACTTTTAACTCGATTTAATGCATCAGCGACAGCTTCACACTAACTTTTTGGAACAGTTATCATACAGTAAGTCACTAATGAGCACAATATAACTATTTTGTAAACCACTTCATGAGTTATTTGGATAACACAGAAATCTATGTAGGCATCCAAGTTGACAGACTAATTAAACGTGGAACCTCACACACAGTTGCTTCAATTCAACTGCCACATGTCACAGTAGTATACAAAGAACAGTTGAATAGAAGCGGGTGATATCAAAGTGAAAAAAGTGTGTGAGAGAGCAAACAATTTGAAGATAAAGGTTAGCCCAAATATTTAAGCCATAGAAGATGTCAAGGAGTGTATACATCCATGCCATTGTCAGTGATTTTCAGCATGTCACCAAGAACTCTCAACCAATGATCCCTATCATCTCAGAGACCCCAGCTAAGTAGTCTTCATCTCTTCACTGGAACCAGGTCTTATTCTGACCATCCTGAAACCTCTTTAAACCAAGTTCAACTTCCTTGAGGATGGCATACTAGAGCCAAGACATGTTATTATGCATGACTTAGTAGGATGTTCCCATCAAATCATCGTTTGTTTCAATTTGAAAAATACAGATCACCATTTTCCGACCATTGGAGTAAATAATGGTTACTCATATTTGGTTATTGCTGAGCACTAACGGCCAGCTAAATTAACCACCTGCTGGTGACTGATTCGTGCAAGTAGCCATCTTCTTGGTGTGAAATATACAAGTCTTTTTTAGGCTGGATAGATGATGTATTACAGTTAAGTGTCCTAAACTAGAAATCAAAAGGTTGTACCGTATTTCATCATTTTAATTAGCTTTTCACTTAACATCAGTTTGTACTGTTTACTCTCCTAGATAAATCGATCACTTCCTAAACTTCCAAACTCGTGTTCTTTATGACTTTCCAATTCATAATTATTTAATCTCTTTTTTTTGTTAAAAAGATTCCATATTTGGTGGTTTTTCAGGAACATATGAAAGATACGCCAAGATTTCGTTCATCCTTAAGATTGAAACAAGAAATTGAATTATTAGCTGCATATGTTCCGCCTAATGATATAATCAGAAGACTTCAGCGTATCGTAATGGATGATCTGCAAGATCAGGTGAATACACAACAACGACTTGAAGACTGTACACAAGAAGCTGTTGGAATGGTACAGTCACAGAATTCTGGTATGTTCTGTTTGTTTAATTTAGTGAAAAGGGGCTGTTAAGTGATTTCAGTCTCTGTTTACTAATCTGAAAGGAATTTTTTCCTAAACCTCCATTTATATGAGAGGAGCGGGAAAAAATTTTGTTATACAATTCTTTGAATGCATGCAGCGTAAACATATGTATAAGTTATTATAATCCCTTGGAATAATTAACTACTTAATAGGTTTATAATGCAGATTCCGGGCAATTGGGTGCAGTACAAAAAGGAATGCATGTTTCACTTTGATTTATTACTGAGTTTTATACGAGTAGTGATTGAACTCTTTTCCGATATGAAGGAAATTGATCATTTCGACAAGTGATATTTGACGACAGTCTTAGTAGTTAACTGGTATCAACTTGCGAACCGTAAAGAACTAGGTAGCACTCGACTTGCTGCACTAAAATTAAAGTGCATATGATGGTCACTAGTGAGCTTGGAGGATGGTAGCTGTGTACAGCAAGTTGACTCATGTTTGATAATATGGACTGGTAAGCAGGTATATCCAGCTGACGAGTCCTAAATAGGACGAAATGAGCATCCTGGATTCCACCGCTAGCCACGATCCATCACAAACATGAAAATCGATTAAAATATTTTATTGGATATAAACAAATATACAGCTTTTACAATAGTAGTAAAACAACCCTCTCAAGTCAAGTTATCAATTTGAAATAGAACAATAATGATAGTCTTAAGCTTGTAGTTTATTGAACTGAATTCAACCAGGATGTGTATACTAGTTAAATGTAGGATCGAATATATTCTCAAAATCTGACAAAAAGAGACATAATAATTAATTATTCGTAGACAATGAGTTTCATGGATAGTTCAATGTCTATAGTAGCATAAATTTCATGATAGCTGAACTCTCATGAATTATTTCACTTCATCAACTGTTATTCGAAAGACTTTAGATAATGCTAATTATCGACTGTATTAAAAGTCAAATATGAACAAAGAGTATTCATATCAATAACTTTCATCGAGTTCTACAGCTGTAAAATTAAATGCATTGCCATAGTTTTAGCCCTATTTGTGACAAATGCATTTTGGAACGGATATGAAATTATAATTGCAATTAGACTTTTTAAGTTTATAAAAGATAGTGTGATTTACGTATTTATGTTAACTACGGTTATACGTTGAGTTTCAGTTGATGATCAGAAGTATTGAAGGTTTATGGAATGGGGAAGGAAAATTAACATTAAAGTTCAAGGTTGCATTGTATCTAGTGAGTGATTAGTACAAAGAATGACATAAATTTACCAAAAGGTTGGAAACATAAAACGGTCAGAAATGTGAAACTGATAAGATAATAAGAGTAATACAATTTAGAGGTTTGTGGGGATTTTATTAGTTTCAAAGAGGTATTTATTATGGATTAACATCAGTTGGAGGACCACTTCGAACCCAGGAGCACTAGAAAGCTGTTTACTTTTGTAATGGGACTACACAGCAGTGCGTGCTGTCACTCTACCAAGTGCAAGACTAGAAATTTCAGGTCCTGCAGCCAACACGTTACCGTTGATTCGTTGGGTCGAAATCCGGTGATTCACATTTTATATCTCTATCAGTTGACGATATAGCGTGACTTTCATCCAATACCATCACTGAGTACTTGTCTTTATTTTTGACTTCGTTTGTCCCACTTGTCTCAACTTCTCATTAGAACGTCCGAAAATCTCATCGCGAACTAAGTCACCAGTGAATACTGAACAGTAATTCGATCCGAACTCCTCATTAGAAGGTCTAATACTAGAACGAAACGGCTGTCTAGTGCTCCTAAGTTTTCAGTTGTTCTCCAACTGATGTCGCTTCATGATGAATATCTCACTGAAAATACCAATAACAATGTGAAAAAAATGACCGATCAAGACTTTTTCTATCTCAGCAACCTATTTCAACAGTAAAACCAATTTTTGTCGAGATGATAAATATAACTGGTTAATCTTAGGGAAAGTGAATCGTGCATCACAGATACTATGGTTATGTTTCAAAACTTAATCATGATAAAATATTGTCAAAAAGAATAGCTACCGAAAAGGTACCAATCAAGTAAACGACAATTCTATACCAATTATTTGTCATAACTAGTATAAAAACTTCATTTAAAAACAGTTAATGACCTCATCATCTAATATAGGTATATATGAATAGTTCAGTCGACTTACTTTATAGTACTTTTAAAATAATCCTAATACTGGTTGCTCAATTGTTGCTTTTAAGCCATAACTATCAGTGAACAGTGGTTCAGTAAGACAGTAGTAACTATCTACCCTGCAACTTCAAATATCTAACACATTAAATAAATGTAGGTCTAGAGAAAGGTAGAAGATTTAGATGACAATTACCAAAGAGATACAGCAAGTACATGTTCGCAACCAGCAATATAATAATCAAGAATAATACCTTTCTCACCTTTGAAGGCTTGAAGATATATGATAAATATTTTTATAAATTTTTGTTAAAATATGACTGTTTTTCGATACCAAACATGGTGATAGCCAGTAGTTGTAGCCCAGGGTGTATATATACACATTAATTTGTTACTTAAGTTGGTGTTGCAGCTGTCTAACATTTCAATGACAAACGTTTTCTGCATCGCAAAAGCTTCAACAAGAATAAGTGCAACTCTACTGTACACAAGAACTTATTTATGTAAAGCTTGCACATGAATAATGCAAACGATTGATTTAAACTTAACATTGTGAGCATTGCAGACTAAACAAGCGTCTTCCTCCATGGTAACTGAAACCTTTAGTTTACATATGTTATTTTGTAGCAACTTACCTCACTTGTATGATATTCATTTTGAAACAAAAAATCTGGCTACATTCTGTTAAATAAACTTTATATATGTCTTATTAACTTTTGCCAACGTTTACTCCCTGTCTTCAAAGTAACTTCTTAGATTCCAATGCACTGCTGTGTTTCCACCTATATACGGTTAGGACATATCTCTGTGGTTCGGAATTTGGTTCCCATTAGTTATTTTCCGTTAAGTGTGCTTTCAAACTTTAATTTTCGTATTTTTTATTCAAGGTGATCAAGAACCCTAGTTATTCATTTTTTTTACTTCCTTTTTCCAAAGTCTATCTTTCAAAAAAGACATTTCATAAGTTCGAACACTGCTTCATTTAACAAAATCTTGTGTCATGAATAGAACTAAGGGTATCACAAAAATAAATATGATTTATAGCCTGGTATATGGAACTTTATTGAATTTACCATTTTGTTATGATCCGTCAGTTAGGAGAACGCTCAGGCAGGTGTGTCTAGGAATATGAGAAAACTTGACAGCTGCGTTTGGAAAACCTAAAATTGTATCTTAGTACACTTGATAGAAACACAGCACTGCATGGAAGTTAGTAGTTTTTGCCGTATTCTAAAAGCATTATCATACAGTATGCTATGCCTTCTCGACACAGCTGAAACTGTAGCAACAGTATGATTAAATCTGAACTTTGCAGTCAGAAGCAATACCTTCATTCATTACTCCTCCTTCAGCCTTCCATAAACTAAAAGCTACTTATGTCATCCTAGATTGTCTCCTTTTTTCCCAATCACATTCTTTATGCACCTATAAGTAAGCTAAACACTCACCAATTTAAAAGAGAAAAATCCAATCTACTTACAGTCTCTAATTCTCATTTCATTTTGAAAATGTATTGCGGTAAACTTGTCCTTGTTTGTGCCGAGCAGCCCACCTTATAACTGTAGAACTTGATGAAAATTATTTGGAAAGAATATTCATTACTCATATTGTCTTTAATTACTAATATCTGGTATTATCCTGAATTATGTTGTTTTATTTCTTATAGTACACAGTGGTACTTTATTATTTACTGGTTGGTATTTTGAGCATGATTTATTGCTCATAATCATATCAAATAATCATAATATGAACTTATGCCCTACCACAGTTTTACTGTTATATTAAATATGTTGTTAGCAAAAAAAAAGAACTTAATGTTTATGTTGTTGCTTGTAATGAATGCCCAATCATTGACTGGACTCAACTGATCAGTCTATGGGCTCGTGTGCGGATGCCTTGCTATTGCCTGTGATTTAAATTTGATAACAGTGATGGATACTGGCTAACAGTGGAGTTCATGGCACGTGTTTCACCGCATTCAAGACTCGTCAGCTGGACATATTTGCATCTCAGACAGTGGTGTTGTTCCCACTAAAACTTGAATCTAGAATTCATCATTGTAAACACTAGAGCACCATCTACTAGACCAATGAATCATGGTAACCACTTCTGGGATTTATACGCCGCAACAATATGATCATGAATTCAGAGTATATATATTTGTTTACATGCATATCTAAATCTTACTGGCATATTATTTGAAGCAAAAGTAAACTGAGTTAGACAGTATTTTCTTCCTTCATAAAGTTTAAAGTTGAGATAGTTGAGGAAGTTTTTCTTGAAACATTGTTAAAGGTTTCCATGTACAATGTTGCCAACTGGATAGATTTTAAACCAGCTTTTCATTGTTCATTTCATATTTCATTTTTAGTTTACTTCTTTCAATGAGCCTAAACTGTCTCCTTTTCTTCTCTGATGTATTTGGATCTAATTAAAATGTATTTTATATTGCAAAAATGAATAAGCGGCAGTCATTGCACAACAATCAAAGTGCAATGGTGAACTTAGTCAAGTGGTAATTACTCACAGAAACTAAGCCGTCAGTCATTAAGCTCCAATGGTTTATCGACAGCATTCATTGTTGTAGACATCAAAAAACTGTTGTGACTGATATTTATTCTAAAAACGAGAAAGATATGATGGTTATGACAAAGCTTTCGATTGATGACTGCGTTCGCCTAAGCATAAAACGCCTTGCTTTGAATGATATTTTTGGCTTGTTCAATCGGTGTTCAAAAAAGTTTGACGGTAGCAGTTTTTAGCCTTTCAGCTGTCTCTTGAAACATTCAATTACGTTGCTTCAGAATTCTTGTGTGCTGT